GCTCTTTGACTGGACCCAGAGCTGGGTACAGCCAGCAATCGATGAGGCCGTGTGGAGCCACCAGGCACCGGCTGCACTCCTGATGGAACTCCTCCTCGAGGTCTGGAGGTCGAGCAGTGGCTCCTGTGGGGTCCCCGCGGCACCCACTACCCACAATGCCCACTGACACTACTGGCAGGGAGGGGACCCTGAGCGTGCTCGGTGTGGGACCCTTCCAGGGGCAGAAGAGGCCTTCGAGGGAGCGAGGTCCCAGGGAGTAGAGTGCTTGCTCCACACCTCCCCTCAGTGCCAAGATGTTCTTCAGGCCCAGCCGCTTGGCCTTGTGCAGATAGCCTGTGATCTGCTCCCGGCTCTGACAGCAGCAGGTCATGTGCAGGATGGTCTCCAGGCCACAGTAGTTCACGGCGGTGCTGGCAATCATCATGGAGGACGTCTCCTTGTCTGAGCCAGGGTCCCCTGCCGGGTGCCAGGTCACATCTATGAAGAGGGGGCCACCTGCCCCCATCCGATCAAACCTGCGGGTAATTTCTTTCTGAAGAGGGGCTCCTGAGAGCACACGGCCCTTCACCCCCTTCCCATGGGCCTGGGGAGTTAGGGAAACCTCACGCGCAGGTTGTAGTCAGATGACCTACGTTCACGTCCTGGCTTTGCTACTTATTAGCTGCGCGCTCTCGGGAAAGTCACTTAATGCGTCTGAGCCTCGGTTTCCTCATTTCAAACATGTGCCAGAGAACAGTACTTACTTTATAATAATAACTCCAAAAATACTATGATAGATGGCTCCACATGTCTTAGAGCAGCGCTTGGTACACACTCAGTGTGAGGTGTTATTACGATGATGATTTTTTTTTAAAGATTTTGAGAGAGTGAGCGAGAGATCGAGGGGCAGGGGCGGAGGGAGAAGGAGAAGCAGACTCGCCACTGAGCAGGGAGCCTGATGTGGGGCTCGATCCCAGGACCCCAGGATCATGACCTCAGCTGAAGTCAGATGCTTAACCGACTGAGCCCCCCGCCCCCCCTAGGCTGACGATGACAATGACGATGATGATCATTGCAGAGATACCTGATGTCAACAATGCAACCCTTTTGTGAGAGAGCAGCACTGCAGCCTCTCCAAAGTGCTTGCAGTTTGTTATCTTGGGTGATAAGATATTTTGATGGTCAAAGGTACAGGGAATTCTCAGAGTGGCAAGCAGAGGCTCGCCCTAGGAAGAGGAAAAAGGAGGGTGTGCAGACAGGGTTCTTTCCAGCCACCCCGCCCCCCCCCCCCAGGTTGTGGTGCAGCAGCCAGCAATCTCACAGAACACGGCCACAGCTCCGGAATGAGACGCAAGAGCCACAGGTGCGCACACGTGCCTGTCTGACCAGCTATAACAGGGCATTTAAACACCCTCTTGCCTTTCAACTTCAAAACCTTCAGGGTGACACACGAAAGATGCAAATGATAAAATGCATAAACTTAGGAAAGATAAAAAAAAAAAAAAAAGGAACCAAGGGACGCCTGGGTGGCTCAGTCAGTGAAGCGTCGACTTTCGGCTCAGGTCCTGGGATCGAGCCCCACATCAGGCTCCCTGCTCAGTAGAGAGTCTGCTTCTCCCTCTCCACCCCCACGTGTTCTCTCTCTGTCATTCATTCTCTCAAATAAATCTTAAAAAAAAAAAAAGCGGGGGGTGGGGGAACCACAACACATAATGTGCTAACAAAATTCATTCGGCATTTTTAGATTTTGAGAGGCGTAAGTCAAATTCCTAAACTCGCTGAAAATGTGAAAATGTTCTCCAAGCTGCTGCTTTATGACTTCCTAAACCGTGTTCCTGTCCACCCCAAGTTCCGCCACAGAATGCAGTCAGAGAATCAACACTTTTAACCCGTTGAAGAGTGTGTCTAAAAACTCCAGATGCTCGCAGGGACTTTAACCGACAGCGGAGAAGCTGCAGCTCTAATGATCCACCCTGCTCTTTTCCCCCCGCTCTGGCTGCCTTTTCCTCCCAGGTCAAAGGGTGGCTCTGCAGGAGAGCGGCCAATTTGCCTCCCCCGGGCCCCCTCATTCCCCGACTCACCTTGAGATGAGGTTGACCGCTCCCTCAGCAGTCCGAGGAGGAAAGAACTCCAAGGAGAACCACCTGTCACCGGATTCCATCCTCCGCCTCATCTTCTCCCTGAGTCTGTCGTGGCGCTCAGGGTCCAGCCCCGGCGTGGAACATCTCGAACTATCCTTGGAGCTCTCGCTGCCGCTGCTGCTGCCCTCCGAGTGGGGAGTGGGACCGCCGTCCCCTCGGGGCTCCTTCACCATGGCCGGGCTCCTGCTGCACAGAGTGGGGGCAGGAGCGTCAGAGGACCGGCAGCCAAGTCCCGGGGGGCAGGGTCAAGTGAGAGATGCGGCATTTCCACGCAGGAAGAGGGCGAGGGCCGGCGGGGGTCGGGTGGCAGTGCCCCCGCCCAGGGGCTCCACCTACCACAGCTGTGCCTGTCTACGCCGCCTCACTGGAGGCTTTGCCCTCCACCGCTTCCTGGCTCCAAATCAACCAGCCCCCACCCGGCGCAGAAACACGCTCCTTCGGGCCCTGGCATCTCAGCGACAGCTACCTGATGGAGGGTGGCACTGAGAACCCGACCCTGCCGGCCTCCAGAGTCCACAGTCCTAGGCGGGAGCAGCGGACTCTGGCTGGGAGAACCCCGGGTGTTGGCTGGTCCATCTCGGCCAGCTAGGTCCCCGAGTGGGTGGGTTAGAAACGAGAGGAAACTTCTCCAGCGGGTGTGTTCATCTGGGCGGGAGGGAGCAGTGACTCGGGAAGAGCCCAGAGCTAGGGCTGGGGCCCCGCGCAAGGGGGCGGGGGCAAGGCTGCCCGGCCAGAGGGAGGGCTGAGGCTCCAGTTGCAGAAGCCGGATGGAAGGAGGGGGGCGTTGACAGGGGACGGCAGGGCTCGGTGGGTAGGAGGCCAGCAGACGCTCGGGGTCACCGGATTCCTTCCAAAGAAGGCAGAGCTCGGCCTTGGCCCAGCCCGCACATCTCCTGTTACTCGGAACAGCTTGCACGCAGGATGGAAGGAGCGTGGGCATGACAAAGCAGCCACGTCTCTCCCGAGTTCCCACGACTCCAAAATAGACCCTGTCGTGGGTTAGAGCGCGACATTGGCTGGCTTCCACGAGTAACCAGATTCAGATTCAAATTCGAAAAGGGCACGAATTCACGTCCTCCTCGGAACAAAAGCCGTCCGGTCCGCGCCTGCCTTCCAGGCTGTTTCCCTCAGGCCACGCAGGGCGCTCACAGTAACCCCCGAGACCGCAGGGCCCCCACGCCCTAAGCCCCCCCCCCCCCCGCGTGGCAGAGGGCACGCCCACGGCGTCGCTGGCCAGTTCAGTGGGGGAAAATAAGACAAATACTTAAAAACACACTTTTACAAGTGCGCAAACACGCTTCTTTCGTAGTGAAAAATCCATCGCGTGGGGACATGGGGCATCAGAGGGGCAAACAGGCCCAGTTCACTCCAACTGCCGCGGCTCAGCCGGTGTCCCCACCGCGCCTGGGGTCCTCCGCTCTCGAGACCTTGATGACCTTGATGACCTTCCCGCTGCTCCGCTGGCCCGAAACCCACGCAAGACACAAGTGCACACAACAGACTCGTACATCCAGAGTCGAGGAGCCAAGCCCAGAGCGATGACACCCGTACCAGCGGTCTTCCTCCCCAGGGTTGCCCGTTTGATCCCGGCCTCGAAGTGCAGCTTCTCCGCAGGGCTGTCGGTGAGGACGGGGAGGGCGCTCGGGGCGGCCCGGCCGGGTCCTCCCTGGGAGCGGGGCTGGCCCACCGTCCGCCGGAACAGAGCCCGCAGCCGGGAGGGAGCGCGACCGCCCGCGCTGCACCTGCTCCTTCGCGTCCCGCCACCTGCGTCGCCGTGGGGCTCCAGGTCTCGCGTCCTCCGGTGCCCCGAGGTCCCCGGGCCCCGGCTGGGGTCCTGCCCTCGGCGCGCGCCTCGAGCCAAGCGGCCGCACTGCGCTCTGCAGGCAGCCCTCGCCATCCCGACCGCGGCTTCGGCCCGGCAGCGCGGCGCACACCTGCGCGCAGCCCCGCGGACACCTGCGCGCAGCCCCGCGGACACCTGCGCCGCGGGGCCACGAATCGAGTCACCGGGTCACGGGGTCGAGGTGGGGGTGCAGACGGGGCCCAGGGCCGCCTCCTCCCCGGGCCCCCCGCTTCCAGGCGGGGGCTGACCCCGAGGGGCCCTTCAGGGCTGAAGCCCCCCGGGGGTCGCACCTGCCCCCCCGCCCCCCCCCCAGGGGTGATGAGCCCATCCCCTGCAGGGGCGAACCGCGCTGCAGGTGGGCGGCCCCCACTTCCCGGACGTCCCTCCCTCCCTGGCGACCCCACGCCTCGCCCGCACTCACCCTCCGGACGCGGGGGGCTCAGCGCGCGCGCCCGAGCCGCGGCCAGACCTGCGGGGGGCGGGGCGCGGCGCAGGTGTCGGGTTGCCGGGGTGGGGGCGGGGCCAGACGGCGGGCGGAAACGCTCCGCACGGGCGACCGGAAGCTCCCGCCCCAACATGGCGGCGCCCAGAGGCCTCGTTGGAAGCGGACCCTCCACCGTCATGTGACGCGGGCCCTCGCCCCACCCGCCCGCAGCCACTCCCTGCCTCCGTCCCCAGCTCGGGGGCACCACGTGACGCGGCCGGGGCCAGTCACGTGAGGCGCGCGTCTGGTGGGAGGGGGCGGCGGAGGGCTCCGGGGCGGCAGTAAAGGAGGGAGATGGCGGGGTGCAGGGGGGCCCTGTGCTGCTGCTGCAGGTGGTGCTGCTGCTGCGGCGAGCGTGAGACCCGCACCCCCGAGGAGCTGGTGAGCAGCGGGCGGAGCCGGGCTGGGAGCTGGGCGGGGGGCGGTTGCCCGGGCGGCGAGAGGCGTTGCCGGGGGGTGGGGCCCGGCCGCGCTGGGGCCCCAGGTGGCCGCGGGTGGGGCCCGGGCACCGCGTCCTCGGCTCGCGCAGCATCCGCGCGGCTTCTCGGGCCCGAGTCCGGGGTCCCTCCTCATCACCCCTCCGTGGGATGCGAGGGAGAAGCCAGGCCCGCTGCAGTGAACCCCGTCCGTGTTTTATTTCCATATGAAAGGAGTTTTGCACGAAACGGGCGTTTTCAGAATGAGCGAGCCCCGTTCCCTGCGCTTCGTGCTCCTCCACCGCTGGTCCAGCTCCTGCAGCCCTTTCTCACCTTTTCTGGGTCATTGATGATCCGGTTCTCCCTGCAAAGCACCCTGGGAAAACTTGAGTTGCTGTGACCCCGAGTTGATAGGTCCCTTCTGCTCTCAGATCCAGCACGTTGTCAGGTGGAGCCTGCTTTTTTTTTTTTTTTTTCCTCCTTTATCTGGCGTGGGACATGCTTGCGGTGTCCTGAAGACAAGAGTCGATTGTTTGGAGAACCAAAGAGCTCAACTGCATGACCGTAGATAGCCGCCGCCATCCCCCCCACCCCCACCCCCACTTTTTTTATTTTTGAGATCTCGTTGGCATTTGATCATCGTTCCTGATGATTTGGAAATCAGCAACAGATTTCAGGAAAAAAATGTCTTTCTCTTTCTACTTTGAACCTTGTCAGTAGTTAACCGTTCTGTGGATCTGTTTTTCTAGACCATCCTTGGAGAAACCCAGGAGGAGGATGATGAGATCCTTCCGAGGAAAGACTATGAGGTGAGATTCTTACTTGCTGCTTTGGTTCACAGGAGCAGTAAGCGACCCGGTCACTGCAGACCGAAGCATTAGGGTTCCAGCGGGAGATGCTCTGTGATGTCTCTCCCAGGGAATGAATGGGTAAGAGGTACTTTCCCTCGAAAGGGGCTGTTTAACAAGCCCTTTTCTCATCCTGATGCCCAAACAGGGTCTGGTGTCTCTACGTGCGGTCATACATCTGCGGCACCGTAACCTGGGTAGGGTATGTTCACCGTTGAACTATTTGCTTTTACAGCTGGAGACCCAGAGTCAAAGCCGCTGACAGTCTGTGCTCATAACAGGTGTGGGACAGGAGACTCTCCTTCTCCTGTTCGAGAACTTAGTTTTCAGATGATTGTTTCCTGCTGAAGCAGCTTCTCTCTGAAGGGCTCTTGATTGCAAGTTCTGGTTCAAGTACGGGATTCTAGGAGTGTGTGTTCAGTAAGGCCAGTGATGCTGGACTAAAACCAAACAAGTATTCCTTTTTAATCATTTAATCAGTTCCTGATAATGTTTCTGTGATTTTTTTTAATTATTATTTATTCATGAGAGACAGAGAGAGAGGCAGAGACACAGGCAGAGGGAGAAGCAGGCTCCATGCAGGGAGCCCGATGTGGGACTCAATCCCGGGTCTCCAGGATCAGGCCCTGGGCCGAAGGCAGGCGCTCAACCACTGAGCCACCCGGGCTGCCCCTGTTTCTGTGATTTTTGAGTTAATAAAAACAAGCCATGATTATGATTGAGAATTCTTAGACCGTTTACGAAAAGAAGCTAGAGAAAAATCCATAACCTCACTCATTAAAAGATAACTATAAAAAAATAACTATAAACCTTACTGAATATCCTTTTCCATGCTTACATTCCTGCTTTTTTGAAATAACAGAAGTGAGATTCAGCTACATTAATCATTTTAACATATTTTCTCAACTTGAAAACAATTTTTGTATTGCTCAGTAAATTTCTACGTTATCTTTTTAAATAGAGAAATACTCTTATTCTACAATTTATTTTATCTGACTTTACTATATGATGAACTAGTTTTGACCATCCTTTATTCTTCATCCCTTTTTTTTTTTTTTTTAAGATTTTTGTTTATTCATGAGAGACACAGGCAGAGGGAGAAGCAGGCCCCTTGCAGGGAGCCCAATTCTGGACTTGATCCCAGGACCTCGGGAACACACCCTGAGCCAAAGGCAGATGCTCAGCCACTGAGCCACCCAGGCATTCCCTTCTTCATCCTTAATTGCTTCTTTAAGCAATCTCAAAAAGTGTGATTAATCTTGTATGTTTAATGCTTTCCTTAAAATGTCGGGTAGACTTAAAAAATTCAGTATTTTAGGGCAATAACATACTCAGGCTGATTTTCTTTTTTTTTATTTTCTTTTTAATATTTTTTGCTGTAAAATTTAATGGAGCTATTAGGACTTATTAGTATACCATGGAATTGTTTTAAAACTTTCATTATAGCAAATTTCAAAGATAAAAAAGAATGGACAAAATAGTATATGGAAACCCCCTGTACTCATCAGTTTCAGCAGTCATTCAACTCATGCCCAGCCTTCATCTGTCTCTCATCCCCTCCCCTTCCCATATTATTTTGAAGAAAGTTCTATACATGACATCATTTCACCCATAAGTAATTAAACGTGCATCTCCAGAGGATGAGGATTTTTTTTAGCACAATACCATTTTCATACCTAAGAAATTAACAGTAACGCCTTGATTTTAAATATCTGATGTTCAGATTTTCCAGTTGTCTATGTCATACAATTTTTTAGTGTCCTATAATTTTTTAATAGTTTGAATCCAGTTTGAATCCACATTGCATTTGTTTACCTTTAAAGTCATTTCTAGGGATCCCTGGGTGGCGCAGCGGTTTGGCGCCTGCCTTTGGCCCAGGGTGCGATCCTGGAGACCCGGGATCGAATCCCACGTCGGGCTCCCAGTGCATGGAGCCTGCTTCTCCCTCTGCCTGTGTCTTTGCGCCTCTCTCTCTCTCTGTGTGTGTGTGTGACTATCATAAATAAATAAAAATTTAAAAAAAAAAAAAAAAAAAAAATAAAGTCATTTCTACCCCCAGCCTGGGGCTCAGACTCACAACCCCAAGGCCAAAGTTGCAGGTTCTACCAACTGAGCCCACCAGGTGCCCCCTTTAAAAAATTTTTAATCTTTAGATTCCGCCTTCATCATTTTTTCCACTTGCAATTTACTTAACAGAACAGAATTCCGGGATTTGCCAATTGGACCACCATGGTATAGTTTAATATATGACACTGATGGGAATACTTTTAAAGAATCAGAATTAAAAAGCGCGGTATCTACTGATGTATTTTCCCACATTTCTAAAATATCTGTCTCCTTGCACATAGTTGAGAGGTTTACGAGAATTAGTATAAGAAGCCCCATACTGGGCTGTCACCTTACACTCCCTTGTTGAGCCCAGTGATGTCACCTTGACTGGAACTTTCTGGCAGCCTTCATCTACTCCCTGGAGGTCACCATGGCTTCTCTGCTCCATTGACCCTGCTGTTCCAAGGATCCTTTACTAAATTGTACTTATATTTGTAATGCATTTACTTGTACCTGATATGCATATCTATGTCAATTTTATGTGTTAACGTTTCATGTGAGTCATTAATATTTCTCAATTCTTCAAGTATGAGCTTCAGGACATTTGCTTTATGTAAGAGCAAATTTAGCTAGACGCTTATTCAGAAAAGTCTGCTCAGATTTTACTAGGGGTCAACTAGAAGACCCTTCTGGTAAAATCTTTCTGAAATGTGCTCTCCTTCCTGCCTTACTAAGAGTTCACTGCACCTACTTGACTGTTTCTTTGATAAGTCTGGGTTCTTACAAGATGTTAGAATTCCTGGTTTGATTCCCATTCTGATTCTAAATGGTTTGAATAACAATAACTCTCTATCAGTGGGATGGGACTGTTAACGGTGATATTTTCAGGCCTGTGTTGCTCAGCACCCCTCAGAACAGAGGACTTGGAATAAAAGGCCTCTCTGGGCATCTGCAGCTCTGCTAGTTCAGGGCCCATTGAAGGTGCTGCTTATGGGAGCACTGAGGTCCCCTTCTTGGTTGAACTTGGGTGGCCTTTCAGCCCCACTTACCCCTGTGGCCACATGCCGTTTGGGTGGTAACCTTGGGCAGCAGGCCTGCAGGACACTTACACAAATTGTATTTTACAAAAAACGTTATTAGCCACTCTCCAGCCAAAGAGCAGAATACAGCAGAAACAAAAGGAAGTTAGTCCTCACAAAGGAGAAGTAAGCAATATCTGGATTTGAAAACAGGTTATGTACTCCATTGGCACATAGTTACAAAGCGTCAAATTCAGTTTTAAGAACATTATATGATTGGTACGTAATTTCAAAGTGTCAAATTCAGGGTTTTTTTGGTTTTTTTTTTAAAGATTTTATTTGTTTATTCACAAGAGACACACAGAGAGAGGCAGAGACGCAGGCAGAGGGAGAAGCAGGCTCCACGCAGGGAGCTCAACATGGGACTCGATCCCGGGCCTCCAGGATCAGGCCCCGGGCTGAAGGCGGCACTAAACCACTGAGCCACCGGGGCTGCCCTCAAATTCAGTTTGTTTTTTTTTAATTTTTATTTATTTATGATAGTCACACACACAGAAAGAGAGAGAGAGAGAGAGAGAGAGAGGCAGAGACACAGGCAGAGGGAGAAGCAGGCCCCATGCACCGGGAGCCCGATGTGGGATTCGATCCCGGGTCTCCAGGATCACGCCCTGGGCCAAAGGCAGGCGCCAAACCGCTGCGCCACCCAGGGATCCCTCAAATTCAGTTTTAAAAAAAGAATAGATTGATGTTCTGGTGTTAGAATTGTTTTCAAAATGTCCCTTTTAACAGTTTTTTTAAGCTGTAGTTCATATTCTATACAATATATCCATCTAAAGTATACAGTGCAGTGGGGTTTTTTTAGTATATTTAGTATATTTACCCTAAGCAACCAGTAATCTACTTTCTGTTTCTAGAGTTTGCCTGTTCTGGACATCTTAAAAGTCTCTTCAATGTTTATGAAGCCATAGCATTATTAGACAAAGCCAGCAAGCAAATAATTGACCAGTAATTTCTTTATGTATTTGATAAGAAGGATTCATATTTTTCAACCTTTTTATTTTTTTTTCCCGTTCCTAGAATGGATGTCATTTTAATAATTTAACAAGTGTATGTGGGGTGACTAGCTGGCTCAGTCCATAGAGCAAGTGACTCTTGATCTCAGAGTTATGAGTTCAAGTTCCACGTTAGATGTAGAGCTTACATTAAAAAATGTATTTACAATGCCAATAATAAAAATAAAAATATGTGTATATTTTTATAAGCACAGAGATAAAATATATATGTGTTATGTGCATATACTCTATACCGCACCCCTGCACAGTCAAAAGTCTGCATATGACTTTGACCCCTCCAAAAGCTGAATTAATGGCCAACTGTTGACCAGAAGCCTTATTGACAACATAAACAGTCAATTATTCCATATTTTGTATTATGTGTAGTAGTCTGTATTCTTACAATGAAGTGAGTTTAGAGAAAAGAAAATCGTAAGAGAAAATACATACAGTACTGTACCGTATTCATTTAAAAAAAATTTATGTATAAGTGAACTTGCTCAGTTCAAATCTGTTATTAAAAGCTGAACATATGGGATCCCTGGGTGGCGCAGCGGTTTAGCGCCTGCCTTTGGCCCAGGGCGCAATCCTGGAGACCCGGGATCGAATCCCACGTCAGGCTCCCAGGGCATGGAGCCTGCTTCTTCCTCTGCCTATGTCTCTGCCTCTCTCTCTCTCTGTGACTATCATAAATAAATAAAAATTTAAAAAATAAAAAATAAAAAATAAAAGCTGAACATATGGACAGTATGCTATGTGTATGCAATCACTAAATACATATATATATATTTTTTTTAATTTTTATTTATTTTATGATAGTCACACACAGAGAGAGAGAAAGAGGCAGAGACACAGGCAGAGGGAGAAGCAGGCTCCATGCACCGGGAGCCCGACGTGGGATTCGATCCGGGGTCTCCAGAATCGCGCCCCGGGCCAAAGGCAGGCGCCAAACCGCTGCGCCACCCAGGGATCCCAGTACATATATATTTTTAATCATTCATGGATGAGTCCAGTTTTCCAGCAGAAGTATTTTTTACTGACTGTGGTATATTGTTTCATAATAAGAAAAACCCCATTCTTTTAAAATATAAAAAGTACACCATGTTTGCTGTAAGAATTTCAAACAACACCCAGACGCAAATAACTCCTAAGTATCACTTCAGAGATAAGCACTGTTAACAGTTTTCCCAGATGTTTTACGTTATATGCTGACATCCAAATCATCTTAATTTTGTTTAATCAAAATAGGATCCTATTACATATTTTATTTTGCATCTGGCTTTATTTTGTATCTTTTTTTACTTTTTTTTTTTTTAAGATTTATTTTAGGGAGAGAGAGACAGAGTCTGGGGGAAGGGGAGCAGAGGGAGAATCTGCAGCAGATCCCCTGCTGAGCACAGAGCCTGACACAGGGCTCCGCCCCATGACTCTGAGACTATGACCTGAGCTAAAACCAAGAGTCAGATACTTAACCAACTGAGCCACCCAGGCGCCCCGTTTTTGTTTTTTTTTTTCCTAATACTTATATGTGTTCCACATCTATCTATGTGGACTTGTCGTAATTATTTTATTCTTATATAGTCTTCCATATTTGGATGTCTGATCATTGATGTAATAAATTGCCTGTTGATGTCCCTTGGACCCTTTTACAAAAGGGGTTTGGAAAAAAAAAAAGGAAAAAAAAAGGGATTTGGACTTTGAGTATAGATATAGATGGAATAAGTTGTCACGCATCCCTCCCGTGTTTGGCTGGCGGCCAGCTCCTGCATGGGAGTGGGGCCACTAGGCCAGTGTCTAGCTTGTTTGCCAACTGATATGTAGGTAGCAACAGGTTTAGGAAGGAGAGAGCACACAGCAGACCATTTTCCTCTGTTGCCAGACTGCTGCTTCTCTTACAAAACATAGAAGAAATAAAATTAGTTCCTTTGAATTATTTCTCAAGATGTCTCTGGCATACAGGCAGGTTTTTTTGCAGAGTAGCTGTGTTCTATGTTCTAGATGAAGGAACCCTGCTGTAGACGTAGTTTTAGGAGCTATGCTGCATCGTGCCTCTTCCTAACATAAACTGAAAGTTGCTTTTTAAGATCGTGTCCATGTTGGTTAGTCTCGTGACTAACCACTTATTCATAGAAGCTAACTACAGAAGATACTTAGGATTAACTGATTTTCTGAATTACTTTGGTTCTGGATAATTGAAACTTTTATTCCCGTAATGGGGTTAGTTGGGTAACACTGGTGGTAGCTGAAGGTCTTTTCATGTTTTATTTTTTTTCAAGATTTTATTTATTTATTCATGAAAGACACAGAGAGAGAAAGGCAAGACACAGGCAGAGGGAGAGGCAGGCTCCAGGCAGGGAGCCTGATGTGGAACTCGATCCTGAGATCGCGGATCATGCCCTGAGCCAGGGGCAGGTGGTCAACCGCTGAGCCACCCAGGGGTCACCAGTCTTTTCATGTTTTGCAGAAGCTTTAGGGCTTAGGTAATTGAAAGCTTCTCCCAAAGCATGAACTGCTGCCCGGATGTTCATGTGTGTCAAGTGCAGGCCAATGTGGCAGGTCAGAAGGTCTGGGATTGTGCATTTCTAACCAACTCGTCCCAGGTGCTGCAGGTCCACTGCCCTGCCCATCCACACTTCAAGTAACAGCAACCTAAAGTTTCAATGCTTTCCAGGTTTCCATAATTCTTCCTATCTGGTTGCGACTTTCTTCCATTTCTCTTTCAGAGTTTGGATTATGATCGTTGTATCAATGACCCTTACCTGGAAGTTTTGGAGACGATGGACAATAAGGTGAGTCCCTTACTGATCTCTTGGGACTGAATAGATCTTACCAGCAGCTTCTTTTTCCCATCCAAATTCTCCTGTAAATAGCCATACCCCATGGCTTTTAACCCGTTTCATGAGATAATCAGCATTTATTCCTTAGATCTTCATCCTGCCAACCAAAGTACCCACTGTCACTGCACCTGGCCCAGGCTCTTAGAGCTCATCCATTTGGCATTATAAAGCACCTGCCATCCCAGACACCATTGCCGTGTTTGCTGTCCCTGTGGAATTTAGTCTAAAACTGGCCGAGATGTGTTCCTTCCCTGCTGCCAACAAAACCGTGTAACAAGCTGAGTCTCTTTCCCTATGTGAACAGAAAGGTCGCAAGTATGAGGCGGTGAAGTGGATGATGGTGTTTGCCATTGGAGTCTGCACTGGGCTGGTGAGCAGAGGGCACACGGGAGGCATGATGGGTGGGTGGGGGCCTGGTGAGTCAGAGGGCAAGTCATTTGTCCTGATTAACAGAGACTGCCTTTTCTTTTTTTTTCCTTTTTTTTTTTTTTAAAGTAATAATCCTGATACTGTTTTGTATTTACCTTACTTTTGCTTTATGAAAGTGAATCATACAGCACTGGTACTCCTTAAGCTCTCAAAGGCTTGGACAGGACCTACCTCTTATGACATAGTATGGTCCTGTCAGGTGGACAATAAAGTGGGGGGGAGCACTTCGTGGAAAATGAGGTCATTCTGTAGGGAAAAAACAAAATTGTGGGATAAAACCAGCCATTACACCCTTTCCTTTAGTATGGCATGCCAGTAAACAGGACACCGTAGATGTCAATTTACTGTAATGTCCTCGGCTGCTTTCTTGCACATTGCTTGTTTTATCTAGAAGGTAGAGCTGGTGGCTGTGGATAGCCTGAATGCACAGGGTTCTGGGGTCAGCTTGCTCACAGATGAATCACAGACAAGAAAAGATTATGAAACACTGCCAAATTGTGTAGTAGCACACGGCCCAGAGTCCTCACTGCTGACCTAACCACACTTAAAGCTGGGGAAGAGAAACTGGAAAAGTCAGCAGTCAGAATGATCCACGTCAGATCTGATTTTCCATGATTACAGTGTTCAACTCTGCGGTCTTCGTCCATTCGAGCTACTGTAATAAAATACCAAAGACTTGCAGATGGCTTACTCAACAGATGTTTATGTCTCCCAGTCCTGGAAGCCAGAAGTTCAAGATCAAGGTGCCAACAGATTTGTTTCTGGTGAGGGCCTGCTTCTTGGCTCCTGGCTATATCCTCACAGGGCAGAAGGGGGCAAGAGCTCTCTGGGGTCTTTCATAAGGCCACTGATCTTATTCATGAAGGCTCCATGCTCAGGACTTAATCACCTCCCCAAAGGCACCACCTCCTAATGCCATCACAGTGGGGGCTAGAATTTCAACAGATGAATTTGAGGGAGACACAGTGTTCAGGCTGTAACAGGTTATATGTATTTCTAAGCAGCAGCCTGTTTATCTCACCGGAACTGACTACAAGTCTCATTCTTGATTCTGTGTGATAATACCCATAAACGGTAAGCACGTATTTAGTATAATATAGCCACAAAGGCTGACCAGTTTTTATTTTCCTGGCATTTGTCAGATTTTTACTGTAGTAAATTCAGAGGTCAAGGAACGTTGTACTAGTTAAGACAAATGGCATTCAGAAGGCCTCTTTGGTAACATTCTGTTGTGGGTTAAAACTTGGGTTGGTTTAATTGTTTTATTGAAATTTCAGTGTCTGTTTTGCTGTATATAGGTTTTTGGTTGCAAATTTCCCTGTAGTAAGCATAATCACGAGCCGTCTACTTGTTAGTCTTTCTGCTACTTTCATACCAAACTCCTTGGAACTGCCATTTATCAATACTAGCAACTTCACTAGTCCTCTCACATCATCCCCTCAATCCCCTCTCGTTGTTGCTGGAAGGCCGACTTCCCTTTATTACTTAGCAACTAGCTCCTCTTGCTACTGGCTCGTTTATTTTATCCTTCCATCTGTCACAGCCTATTGCTTCATTCAGTATTTAAAAGCCTCTGGGCATTGGCTTGAGGGAAGGTTGGAGCTAAAGGCCTGAAGCCTTTGATCCTGAATCCACCAAATCATGGGCTTGTCCACTTCTCCCTTAAGCCCAGAGCAACGACTTGGGTCTTAAAGTGGGCAGGTGGGCGGAGTGGTTTTCTCTACTCACCAGGGTGGTTACCAGGGTAACCATTGGCTGCAAATCAGAATAGTGCCCTACAGAGTATAAAATAGGAATAACAAGGGATCCCTGGGTGGCGCAGTGGTTTGGTGCCTGCCTTTGGCCCAGGGCGCGATCCTGGAGACCCGGGATCGAATCCCATGTCGGGCTCCCGGTGCATGGAGCCTGCTTCTCCCTCTGCCTGTGTCTCTGCCTCTCTCTCTCTCACTGTGTGCCTATCATAAATAAATAAAAATTTAAAAAAAAATAGGAATAACAAACATGCAAAAGCCATATACACCTGAGTAAATGTTGTCTTTCAAAGTAACATCCTAAGCTATATGCTTAATCAGCTAAGCATCACTGAAGATATTACTGGAGTTCTTTTTCTGAAACTGCCTTTGGAAAATGCTGAGCAGCTCCTCACTTGATTCCAGATTATTTTCCTAGGCACCGGATGGTCTTCCTTGCTTTCACAGCTTTTCCTGCATCCTTTCCTTTTGTTTTACTCTCCTTCTCTCAGCTTAGCTATGCCCTCTTCCTTTGTCCTCTGGAGGGCAGTGGGGCCAGGCTGGCAGGAAGTCTCCTGGTGAGTCAGAGTGATAAGCAAGAAACCTGTTCACTCATTGTCTCTTGGTAACACGGGTGCATGTACCAGCCAGGAAAGGCCAGGGGGACATCACAGCCTTTGAGTGAAGTGTCTGCACCACGGTGAGGAAAAGCTGTGTGACGGTTCACTTGCTCTTCACAGGTGGGTCTCTTTGTGGACTTTTTCGTGCGCCTCTTCACCCAGCTCAAGTTTGGAGTGGTACAGACATGTATCCTTTTCATGGCTCTTGGTGTTCCCAGAAGTCAGCAGTTTCTGCCTCTGCTTTCTTGTCCAGAGACTAGTAGACATGATCTAGTGAAGAGCTATTTATTAATCATTCGGTTTCATTTTTTAGTTACCATTGAAGGACACAAGAGGGGCAGCCCTGGTGGCCCAGTGATTTAGCATCACCTTCAGCCCAGGGCGTGATCCTGGGGTCCCGAGACTGAGTCCCACATTGGGCTCCTTGCATGGAGCCTGCTTCTCCCTCTGCCTGTGTCTGTGCCCCCCCCCCCCGTGTCTCTCATGAATAAAGGAATAAAATCTTTTTTAAAAAAAAAAGACACAAGAGGAAGACTTTAATAGAAAGAGACTCACATTATACCACAATAATGCCTGTTTGTCCCAATTACCTATAAACTCAATGTGGTTCCAATCAAAACTCCCAATCGAGTTTTTCGTGGAACCAGAAAATTCTCTTCCTAAATTTGTCGGGAAGAGTAAAAGGGCCAAAAGTAGTTGAGACAGTTTGGAACAAGCACGGGCGCTTGCCCTACTCAATGTCAAGGCCTGCATACTTCAAGATATGGTCACTGAAACTGCCCTATTGGTGCAGGAATTGTCAGTTAGGTCAATGGAAGATAACAGAGGAGCAGAAATTGGCTTGTGCATATGAAGAAGTAGGGTGAATGACAGAATTAAGTTGGTGAGGAAGAAATGGGCGTGATAAAAGATGCTGGGATGTTTTGGTGATCCATCTGGAAAAATATAGATTCTTACTTTGTACTATAAATTAATTCCAGATGGATTGAAGATGTAAATAGGCAAAACAAAACTTTCAGAGACTGTGATGTCAAGAGTAGGGAATAGTTTCTTAAAACTCCAGGAGGCACAAAGTGAAAGGGAAGAGATCGATAAACTTGACCATGTCAAATTAAGTTGGTTTTTCATACAAGCAAAAAACCCAAACCACAGCAGTAAAACACCATAAAGAAAGTGAAATACAAGTCCACGGCCTAGGAGAGGTTACTCACTGTATATTTAAGAGACAAGTAATTAGTATCTAGAACACCAAAAGAACTACAGATCAGTAAGAAAAAAGCCCAAACAGGGATCCCTGGGTGGCGCAGCGGTTTGGCGCCTGCCTTTGGCCCAGGGTGCGATCCTGGGGACCCGGGATCGAATCCCACATCGGGCTCCCGGTGCATGGAGCCTGCTTCTCCCTCTGCCTGTGTCTCTGCCTCTCTCTCTTTCTCTCTCTGTGACTATCATAAATAAATAAAAATTTTAAAAAAAAAGAAAAAAAAAAAGAGCCCAAACAGCCCAATAGAAAAATAAGCGGAGGATGTGAACAGGCAATTCTCAGAGGAGGGAAATGGAATGGTCAGTAAATCAACCTGTAGAAGAGGTAAGGGGAGCCCTCTTACCACTAACCAAGGAGATGCAAGTTAAATAGCAAGATACACCCCTTCTGACTCCCCAGCCCTCTTTCCCATGTGGACCTTGGACATGTACAAAGATGTTCATTACAGCTTTGTGATTGCAGAAAGGTGAAATCACACCAAATGGGACAACAGAAAAATTGTAGTGTGCACATACAGTATAATTTTTTTTCCTCAACGATTTTATTTATTTATTTATGAGAGACACAGAGACACAGGCAGAGGGAGTAGCAGGCTCCATGCAGGGAACCCGACGTGGGACTCGATCCCCGGTCTCCAGGTTCACACCCTGGGCCAAAGGCAGGCGCTAAACCACTGAGCCATCCAGGGATCCCCTATGCAGAAGTTAAAATGAATGGACCAGAACTGTGTAGATCAATATGGCTAATTCTCAGAAACTTGATGTTGAAGGAGAAAAAAAGGAAATTGTAGAATGTGCATAAAGTGCAATCCCATTTTAGTTTTAGAGACACAACAATACGGCTATGTATAAAAAGGCATAGGGAATGAGACTTAGTACAGCATGCAGCTCTTGATCTTGGGGTTGTGGGCTTGAGCCCCATGTTGGGTATAGTAATTACTTAAAAATAAAATTTTAAATACATATAGGGTAGATCTACAATAGTTTTAGGTTAGTGGTTTCTCCCAGGGAAGAGAGGGAGGGAAACAGGATTTGTTTTGTGGTATCTAACATTTTAATTTTTTAAAAAAATCTGGGGCAAATATGGCATAACGTCAAGATTTGTTAAAGAGAGGGATGTAAGGGGAAGGTTGTTTGTTGCTTTTTATACCATTTGAAGTATTGATTTGAAATGTTGGGGTCCAGGAGCAAATGGTCAAAGGATTCTTGAGACATTTTTGGTGCAAAAATGGTGGTTTTATTAAAGCACAGGGACAGGGGGAACCCTGGGTGGCGCAGCGGTTTGGCGCCTGCCTTTGGCCCAGGGCACGATCCTGGAGACCCGGGATCGAATCCCACATCGGGCTCCCGGTGCATGGAGCCTGCTTCTCCCTCTGCCTGTGTCTCTGCCTCTCTCTCTCTCTCTCTGTGTGTGACTATCATAAATAAATTTAAAAAATTCAAAACATAAATAAATAAATAAATAAATAAATAAATAAATAAATAAATAAATAAATAAATAAATAAAGCAAGCAAGCAAGCAAGCAAGCAAGCACAGGGACAGGACCCATGGGTAAAAAGAGCTGTACCAGGATTGTGAGGAGTGATTGATTATATTCTTTTAATTTGGGAGAGGTTAGGGATAGCGTTAAGTCTTTAAGGAATTTAGAAGCAAGGTCTGTAGGACCTTGCGGGGCTAGCTGCTAAGATAAGATTATTTAGTACTGTCTAGTAAAATCCTAGTCAGATGGATACCAGTGGGCCATGTGCTTGGAGGATGATTGCTAACCTGTAGCTTGATGAGGGGGGGGGGTGAGGGGCACAGTGGATAGAGATAAAGGAAGTTTCCAAGGGATTTTCATATGTTAAAGACAACTTATGGGATCCTGGGGATCCACTAATGTCAAGCTAAAGCTGCTTTTCCCCCTCTAGCTAGCAAAGCATTAGCATGGAGGCTGCTAGCTCCTCAAGAAAGGTCACTCTGCCTGCCTTAAGTATTTGTCAGTGCTGCAAGTTGTCAGGAAGTTTAATTTTTTTCTACATTTCTTTTCCTTTCATTCTCCACATCAGTATTTCATAATTTTTTTTTTAAGATTTTTATGTATTCATAAGAGACACAGAGAGGCAGAGACACAGGCCGAGGGAGAAGCAGGTTTCCTGCAGGAAGCCCGATGCGGGACTCGATCCCAGGACCCGGGGTCATGACTCGAGCCAAAGGCAGACAGACGCTCACCCAGTAGAACATGTTAACTCTTGATCTCAGGGTTGTGAGTTCAACCCCCATGTTGGGTGTGTAAAGATTATTTTAAAATAAAACCTTGGATCCCTGGGTGGCGCAGCGGTTTAGCGCCTGTCTTTGGCCCAGGGCGCGATCCTGGAGACCCGGGATCGAATCCCACGTCAGGCTCCTGGTGCATGGAGCCTGTTTCTCCCTCTGCCAATGTCTCTGCCTCTCTCTCTCTCCCTCCCTCTCTCTCTCTCTCTCTCTCTCTCTCTCTCTCTCTCTCTCTATCATAAATAAATAAATAAATTTTTTAAAAAAAATTAAAAAGATTTATTTATTTATTTGACAGCTGGGGTGGGAAAGGGGGATAGAGAGAATCTTAAGCAGACTCCCCGCTGAGCATGGAGCTATTTTGGGGCTCAGTCTCCCCAACCTGAGATCATGGCCTGAGCTGAAATGAAGAGTCATGCCTGGCATTCAGCTGAGCCACCCAGGCACCCTCTGGTTTTCTTACTCAAGTTTACATTGGAGAACAGGAAGATGTGCAGTAAGCAGCCAACATGTTTTAGAAGAAGAGACACTGCACTATTTCCTACCAGTGATGGAGGGATGCCCCTGACTGGCAAGCGTGTTTTCCTTAACCCCGGGTCTGTAGCGGTGGAGGAATGCAGCCAGAAAGGCTGCCTTGCGCTGTCCCTCCTTGAGCTCTTGGGTTTCAACTTGACCTTTGTCTTCTTGGCAAGCCTTCTTGTCCTGATTGAGGTGAGGTGGTGTGGGTTTTGCCTTTTGGCTGATGAGGTTTGGGATTCCTCCATCTTCGCTTCTGGAATGTCAGGAAACTGAATTAGCCTTGGGATATAGATTTCTGCAGAAAGCGGCCCCTCCTACACTTAGAGTTATTTCTGTAAGTAGAAGTTCGGCCTCTGGTGAAATGACAAAGGAAAAGTCTGGATTAGGAGGGTGGTTCTCAACCTCAGGAGCACATTAGAATCACCTGGGCAGCTTTAAAAGTGACTTTAAATAACTTTAAAATACTTTTAAAAATAGCTGCTACCCAGCTCTAGTGAGTGAGATCAGAATCTCCGGAAGCAGGAGTGTCTGCATTAGTAGATGCACGGCCCCCAGGTGATGCCGAATCACCAGAACTTGTTAGGGGTGCGGCTGTTCCTGTTGCCCCTCAGACCTGCCGAGTCAGAAACCCAGGGTGGGGCCCAGCATCCGTCTAACAGACCCACCAGGGGATGCTGATGCTTAAGGAAGACGGGCAGTTCCCCCTTGTTAGCAGGCCACAGAACCGGTGGACTTCTATTTCGACTTCACGGGCATCCTTCTCTCCCCCATCAGCCGGTGGCAGCAGGCTCCGGGATACCCGAAATCAAGTGCTATCTGAATGGTGTGAAGGTGCCCGGGATCGTCCGTCTCCGGACCCTGCTCTGCAAAGTCTTTGGAGTGCTGTTCAGTGTGGCTGGAGGTGAGGAGGGTCTTTCTGACCTTTAGTCTTCCAAGTATTCAAGAGGTGAAGATGACAAGAGGTCCTGCGTATATAAATTAAGTAGATTTGGATTTGAAAGGCCTGTCTTCAAACAGATCTCTGCCCTGCGTATTGATGGGTTATTTTTTAAACGTAGACCATGTTAGTAAGTTGCCGGTCAGAGATATCTGACCAACACACACTTAGCTTTGAAGTGGAATGACCGTTTGGTTAGTGGAGTTAGCTTTTAGCAAAGTCAGCAAGATTTTTGTGTTAACAACCAGAGAGTAAATATCCTAGGCTTTTTGGGCCAAGAGGCAAAATGGGAGGTACGATGTAGGCACTCAAACGTATATAACCGTTTGAAATAGATCCATGTGAGGACGTAAAAGCCGTTCTTAGTTTCCAGGCTGTAGAAACAGGCATCGAGCCTGTCTTGGCCCACAGACTAGAGTTTTCAGACTCCTCATTTTAAAGAGTAGTTCTTCTGATTTGATGAGAATTTGACTCTTTATCTTACAAAGTCACGTCATCACCTCTGTTGTATAGTGATCGAGAGAAAGGTCTACCTAGCAAAGGTCTCCTAACCAAGAGAGCTTTTTGTGCTGACTTGATGGTCTCCCCGTTTTCCACCTGTCCCCAGGGCTCTTTGTGGGGAAGGAAGGCCCCATGATCCACAGTGGAGCAGTGGTGGGAGCTGGTCTCCCTCAGGTAAGAGCTGGTGGGCTGGGAGGACAGGTCCCTTGGCAAGGGCCCTTGGGCAGGGCCAGGTCCATGGTTAAGTTTGTAACAGATCCATCGGGAGCACCTAACATGGCCTCGGGAGCTGATGTCGGTTTGGGTTGACGTGAAACTGCTGTGGTCACCCAGGAGAGTGGGTAACCGCTACCCCCGGGTTTTAACAAGGCCCTGCTGAGTACTTGGAGCGGCGACAGGACACTGAGAAAGTGTTCAAGTGAAAGTCACCTGGTACCACAGGCCAGTACTGAGCACCGGCCCATCAGGGAGTTGATAGATCACCTCAGCTGCCAAAACGTGCTGCCGAACCCCAAGGGGTTGGATGCGCGGACCGGGCCGGTTCCAGACCCGGGTCTATGGTGAGGCCATTGGAAGGAGCACAGGAATGTTAGCTGCTGCTGTTTGCTGAAGTGCTTTCTGGGCCAGAGTCTCTGTGTAGCAGCTTCTTTCTTCCTTGGAGTCACTGCAGGGGTTTGCTTGTCCTCATCCTCCCCATTCTCAGTTGAGGAAACCAGGGCTTAGAACTGGCTCGGGCCTGCAGAGCGCCCCTTCTTAAGGCTTATTCCAGATCCCTGGCTGCAAGTTTGAGACGTCTCTGTTCCTTTGAACCGCCCCTTGTAGGTGGTTAGTTCTCGGGCCATCATGGGAGGGAGTCGCTGTGGCTGTGGTCCGTTGACAGAAAGGAGAGAAGACTCTTTCGTCCAGAGTCCATCTGTTTGTCTCTCTTTTGTGACTGCATCCTCTCCTTCATGTCAAGCACCTGGCCTACCAGAAGTGGGCTGAGAGGCCGAAGAAGGCTAGGGGAGGCTAGGGGAGGACGGGTGGCAGCGTGAGAACTTGCTGGGCCCATTGGACGCTGGCTCCTTGAGCCCCTTCCACACCCACATCCCCTGATCAGAGCCCACTTCATCTTCAGCAGCAGCTTTCATTTCCTCCTTCCACCCAGCAGTTTCCCCTTTTTCTGTCTGATGTGTTGACTATGTACCAAATGCAATTTCCAAAGATCCTAGAAATCTGAGGGGCGAGAAAAGAAGTTCCTCCCAGAAGTAACGATTTTTTTTCCACGTTGCTGTTCTGGCCTCTTCCTTCTTGCAACACATCTGCCTGAGTGTGCTGAGGCAAAGGGGACCTTCTGGTGCCTTGGCTTCCTGCAGCTCTGGTCCCTGTGGGCATTCCCCCCCCACACACACACTGTTTTCTCTTTCTCTAGTTTCAGAGCATCTCCTTACGGAAGATCCAGTTTAACTTCCCCTACTTCCGAAGTGACAGGTATGGAAACTCAATCCAGTTCATTTCCTGCCCCTCGGATCCAACTACAGTCACAGTAGCTGGCTCACCGGCTGCCCTGCTGGGCAGGCTGCGTGCAAGACCCACCTGTTAGAATGGAGGGGGGGCTTTGATGCTTCTGAAAATAAGCACAAGGGCCAGGCTGGCGTCGTAGCTTCTATTTTGTCAGGACATAAGGCCTAGAACCATCTCAATGAAGATGGTCCAATATTGAAAACACTACCAAGAACATCCACAGGTGTATTATCAATAATGTGTTTTATATTCCAAAGTGATGTTCTTGGTCAGCCGCCTTTCTGGGTTGGAAGGTGTTGTCTGGGTACTTTTTCGCCCGGTGGGATTTGCGTGTGTACTGACGTGCGCACCCTGCCCAGCCTTTGGAATCAGGGCCCCAAGTTCAGAGTTGTCCTCCTACTCATACTGGGATTCCCGTAGATCACTTACCCACCCCTCTGCGTGTAACCAGCACTCTGACGGTGTCACTGATGCTGTGGCTCTCCGGGAGAAAGATCTGGTAAGAGCACAGCTCACACGGCCGGAAGTCTGTGCTCTGGTGACGAGATCCCACGTTGAGAGCGGACTGACGTCAGGGAGCCCCTCCGACTAAGGGGAGGGTTTGGGTAAACCATATTTGCTGGTGAGTCTGCCTACCAGACACCTGCCCCTCGTAAGCCCTGACTGTTCGTGGGTCACGGGTCCCAGTGTTGGTGGACAAGGAAGTGAACAACTGCCTTTTGCCTCCTGAGGACTCTTGCTCTTCTGGGTAAATCACCTCTCCGTCTTCTCCCCTCAGAGACAAGCGAGACTTTGTATCAGCAGGGGCGGCTGCTGGAGTTGCTGCAGCTTTCGGGGCTCCCATCGGGGGTACCCTGTTCAGTCTGGAAGAGGGCTCGTCCTTCTGGAACCAGGGGCTCACGTGGAAAGTGGTAAGGAGCACTTGCAGTGAAGCCTCTCCTAAATTAGCCACTGCCTCCAAAACGAAACTGGACTTCTCTTACGTGGTACAGTTACCTGTCGTTTTGATGAAACCAGGAGAGTTGACTTTGTCAGAAATATCTTTGTTCAATGGAATACTACTTAGCCATCAAAAAATAAATCTTGCCACTTGCAAAGATGTGGATGGAACTAGGGGGTATTATGCTAAGTGAAATTAAGTCCATCAGAGAAAGACAATCACCATACAATCTCACTCCTATGTGGAATTTAAGAAACAAAACAGGATCAGAGTGGAAGGGAGGGAAAAATGAGAGAGCGGGAGACAAACCACAGGAGACTCTCAATCGTCACTGGAGGGGGGGGCGGGCTGGGGTAAGTGGGGGATGGGCATGAAGGAGGGCACGAGATGTAAGGAGCACTGGGTGTTCTATAGGACGGATGGGTCTCGCCTACTTCTGACACTAATAATAAATTATACGTTAATTAATTGAATTTGAATTTTAAAAACTAAAAAAAAAAGAAATTCCTTTGCTTTAGACCAGTAAGTCCAAGCCATAGGCTTTTCTGTACTTTTCATATTAAGGCCTCCCATCCGTTGTCTCTTGAGAAACCATGTGGCGTGAGAACTGGAGACCAGCTGGGGGCAGAGGCAGACAGGCAGTGGCAGAGGGTGGACTTGAGCCCTGCCCAGTCCCCGACCTGAGGCTACCCTGTTCCTCCTCTTGTAGCTACTCTTCCTTGTAGCCACAAGCTCTAGTCCATAACAGGCTCTAGATAAATAGGCTCTCCCGGTAGGCTGCTGAGTGCACACCCCTTACAGCCTGATTCGCAGTTTTCCGCACCTCCGGTGCGCCCGCTGAGGGGGGGTCCCAGGTCTCCACGCAGACCTGGAGTTTCTTCGGGGTTTCTGTGGGGGAGCAGGAGGTTTCCTGAGGCCCCGAGCACCCAGGAGGAAGTAGGACTTGTCTCTACTGAGTGTTCCTGTGTTTGTCACCTGTCTCCTAGCTCTTTTGTTCCATGTCTGCCACCTTCACCCTCAACTTCTTTCGTTCTGGGATTCAGTTTGGAAGTTGGGGTTCCTTCCAGCTCCCCGGATTGCTGAACTTTGGCGAGTTTAAGGTACGTTTCATCCTTTCTTCCATAGTTTTTGGGGTCATGGGGGGTTTTTTGGTTTTACTTGACCCATGAAAAATGCTCTTATTAATAAGTAAAGTACCTGAGAGCAGTTGTCAGAAGGGTAGGTAGAGCTTCTAGTGGGGCCTCTCTGCCTCGTTAGACGCCTGTGCATGCTCAGTGCTCGGTGCGGGCAGGCTTCCAGCACTGCATTGGCTCGCGTAGGTGGAAAGCTCGCCTCTTATTTCTGTCTTCTCTGCTTCTGTCCCTTCCTGTTCTCATGGGCACTCTGGTTTTTCTCTCTCCCTCCCTTGCCCCTTGTCTCAGTGCTCTGACTCTGATAAAAAATGTCATCTCTGGACAGCTATGGATTTGGGTTTCTTCGTCGTGATGGGGGTCATTGGGGGCCTCCTGGGAGCCACATTCAACTGTCTGAACAAGAGGCTTGCAAAGTACCGTATGCGAAACGTGCACCCGAAACCTAAGCTCGTCAGGTACCTGGTCGCCTCCCCCAGCCTGCTGTGGCTCCCTGAGCTTCCTGTGGACCAGGCCATCCCTCCCGAGGAAGGCACTCGTGCGAGCTGACTCTGCTTCCCACACCGGCTTGATTTCATGTCTAAGCCTAAAAATGTAGACCGGGTCCTAGATCTACTCTATTTGTCAGACAGGCCAAAAGTCTGAGTCTGAGCTTAATTTATATCAGAGGTGCTGGTTGCCTCCCAGCCACGAGGACACACGGCAGAGTCAGAAGGGTTGATGAGACTCTTGCCCCGGGACCTAAAATGGAAGGCCGTTGTGTTCCTCAGAGGGAGAGGAAGTGGGTGTAGCAGCCCATGTCTCTGGTACCCACAGCTGACGTACAAATTGCCAGGATAGAGCAAGTCGCTGGTAAATTCTGCACGTGTGCTCTCTTACTCGGGCTGCTGTGCATGCTCTTTGGGGGAAATGAGGGTTGGGGGTAGACAGGGCTGTGTTGTTTAGTTCCCGAGGCTGGGGGGGTCTTTCTGTTCTGTGGTAACAGCTGTGCTTTGCTTCCTAGAGTCCTCGAGAGCCTCTTGGTGTCTGTGGTAACCACCGTGGTGGTGTTTACGGCCTCGATGGTGTTAGGAGAGTGCCGACAAATGTCTGCTTCGGGTCAAATCGGTAATGACTCCTTCCAGCTCCAGGTAAGCGCTGCGCACCTGCCGCCTTTGCCCTATTCCCACAAAGAAGATGATTCCACAAACGTGTGATTGGCCTCTGCTTACAGCCGGGAGAGGTGTTTCCTTGCTCCATGCCTGTATCCGGTTGCTAAGAGTTAGAGGAATCCGCAGGAGTCTTTTCACTGAAGAGAAAAGACTGTCTTCCTCTTGTCTTTCTCTGTCTTTTTCACTTCTATGAAGAGTCATGGTCATCGTAGAAGGAAGCTCCTCTCTCTCTCTCTCTCTCTCTCTCTCTCTCATTCTCTCTCGTTCTCTCTCTCTTTGTTGAACAAAAGTAACTGGATGGGGATCCCTGGGTGGCGCAGCGGTTTGGCGCCTGCCTTTGGCCCGGGGCGCGATCCTGGAGACCCGGGATCGAATCCCACATCGGGCTCCCGGTGCGTGGAGCCTGCTTCTCCCTCTGCCTATGTCTCTGCATCTCTCTCTCTCTCTGTGTGACTATCATAAAAAAAAAAAAATTTAAAAAACAAAAGTAACTGGAGACAAGCTCAGGAAGCAGACAACTGCTTCTTCACCAAACCCCAGTTTACTCTTACCACTTCACCCCTGAATGGTGCCCACCAGCCTCACCCCCATGGTTGTGAGCATCACCCTTGAGACAGGGAGAAAGGAATGTCTGCCTCAGGGGGATCAGTGCTCTGGCTCTCTGGGCATCTTGTTCTTACTGGGTTTGGGTTCTGGCCTATGCTCTATTTCCATTTCTCCTCTCTTCCTAGGAATATGTAGTACTTTCTAGAACCTTTTCTTGAAAGAGCAGAGGCAGTGAGGGAGGCATTCCAGCTTATTACTCTGCCCTCATAATCTCTGGTCCAAGCTAGTGGCTCTGAGAGCTGCCTGTGGTCAGCCAGATGCGTGGTTCTGGCCCCTAGGGGCGAGACTCAGGAACGGTCCCTAAGTTTCTTGTCATCTTGTTGCCCCTGCGGAGCTTCGTGGGGACTTTGTCTTGGATGGCTGCCCCTTTGGTGTCCCCAGGAATGTCCATGAAGAGCAACAAGTGTTAGATCGGAGGTTGCCAAACGTGGCCCATTGGCCAAATGTGGCTTTGGCAACTGCTTGTTTTTCTGTAGCCCTCTAGCTAAAGAACGGTATTCACGCTCTTTTTCCTTCGGCGCGCCACTGAAGATCTGGTGTCGCCATGGGTCGCCGCCCCGCCCAGTGTTACCGGTACTGTAGGAACAAGCCGTATCCAAAGTCTCGCTTCTGCAGAGGTGTCCCTGTTGCCAAGATTCGCATCTTTGATCTGGGGCGGAAGAAGGCAAAAGTGGATGAGTTCCCATTATGTAGCCACATGGTGTCAGATGAGTATGAGCAACTCTCCTCCGAAGCCATGGAGGCTGCCCGTATTTGTGCCAACAAGTACATGGTGAAAAGCTGTGGCAAAGATGGCTTTCACATCCGAGTGCGGCTCCATCCCTTCCATGTTATCCGTATCAACAAGATGTTGTCCTGTGCTGGAGCTGACAGGCTGCAGACAGGTATGCGAGGTGCCTTTGGGAAGCCCCAGGGCACAGTAGCCAGGGTCCACACTGGCCAAGTCATCATGTCCATCCGTACCAAGCTGCAGAACAAGGAGCATGTGATTGAGGCCCTACGCAGGGCCAAGTTCAAGTTCTCTGGCCGCCAGAAGATCCACATTTCCAAGAAGTGGGGCTTTACTAAGTTTAATGAGGACGAATTTGAAGATATGGTGGCCGAAAAGCGGCTCATCCCAGATGGCTGTGGGGTCAAATACATCCCTAATCGTGGCCCCTTGGACAAACGGAGGGCTCTCCACTCATGAGAACCTTGCACCACCCGAACCCTATTCATGCCCACCAATAAATCCTGCTTCCTGTCAAAAAAAAGAAAAAAAAGAATGGTATTCACACTTTTAAAGAGTGCTTAGGAAAAAAAAGAATATACAGCAGAGACTCTGTGGCCTACGAAATCTAAAATTCTTACTATGTGGCTATTTATGGAAAAAATTCACCAACCTCTGTTACTTGCTAATACTGAGGCTACCTCATTACAGAGCAGTATTTTCTAGACGCATTCTGTGGAACCCTGATGCATATGATTCAAAAACAAATGGAAAAGGATCCTGTGGTCTAAGGGGTTAGCCAAAATTAAACGAATTGCTTTTATACAGGACATTCTAGGGCCTTTAAAATTCTGTAAGTGTTACAAGTGTTTGGAGTATTTCTTGTGCGCCAGCTGTCCCACCAAGCACTCACGTACATGACTTCGTGTGGTCTTTACCACCGCCATGCTGGCTGCTGTTATTATCCACGTTTACAGAGGAGAAAACAAAGTGAGGCCTCTCTTTTTATTTTTCTTGAAACTTTCTTTGAGAGTCTGTGAGAGAGCAGCAGAGGGTGAAGCAGGCTCCCCACTGAGCAGGGAGCCCGATGTGGGACTCGAGGACCCAAGGATCATGACCTGAGCCAAAAGCAGACGCTTAACCGACTGAGCCATCCAGGCACCCCACAAAGTGAGGTCTTGACCTGCTCTCACAGGGGATAGTATATGCCATGAGGTCAGCATTAACGTATTTCACAGGTGAGGCAGCCAGAGCATTGCAGAATGAAGTGCCGCTCCCACGGTCGCTGTAGAGTGGCCATCTGATGCTGGAGCCTCTGCTCTGCCTTCAGCAGGTCCTCTGAGCTCCAGCAAGTGCTGTGATGCATCTCCGCGCATTCGACGCAGGACTCTTTCCAGGGAGCCCCTGGGCCTGGTGTACCCCCCGACATGGTTTGGGAAACCCTGCACGTGTGGATCATCCCGTGGTCGCCTCATTGCGAGCCCCACACGTTTCTCCTTTGGTTGCTCGTCTCTGCCAGGTTCCACCAGGAGGGGGCACTGACCTGCTTCCCTTGGCGGTCTTCAGCCATCCTGCCCAGGCAGGCCCACCTGGCAGGACCCCCATCACCTAGTGTGGTGATAGTGTCCACCCACATAAGGGTATCTCTACAGCGTCCCCAATAGACTTGAATCCAGGAAAGTCCATTCCTTTTAGTGAACCGCGTACTAACACTCTGTGTGTGTGTGCGCTGTGGTAAATGTGAAGTATACCAACTGCACCGTTGGACACTATCAGCTACAAAATAAGGACTGTCCTGCTCTGCTGTGTCGGGTACACTTGGACCCAAGCTCGAGCTTGTAAATAAATCCTCGTGTGTTTGCAAAAAATAAAAAAAATAAAAAATAAGGACTGTCCTACTCCAGCGCCTTTGCCCCTGATGAGTCAGGCAAGGATCAGGATTCCATTGTCCTGCACAAAATGGTGGAGAGAGCAAGAGGTCTGAGATATGGAAAAATAACCTATTTTCCCAGGTTGGGTTTTGTTCAGCCAGCTGGGCCTTGAAGGGAGAGGCAGGAGCATCCAGGCCCCATGTGGGAGTGTGTTTTCTTCTGCAGAAAATTCAGGGCAGGGATCCCTGGGTGGCGCAGCGGTTTGGCGCCTGCCTTTGGCCCAGGGCACGATCCTGGAGACCCGGGATCGAGTCCCACGTCAGGCTCCCGGTGTATGGAGCCTGCTTCTCCCTCTGCCTGTGTCTCTGCCTCTCTCTCTCTCTATCATAAATAATTAAAAAAAAAAAAAAAAAAAAAGAAAATTCAGGGCAGAGGCCTTTTCCATTTGGAGCCAAAGTTGGGGTGTGGGGTCAGGCGGTACCCGGGCCTGTCCTCCACCATCACCTGTCAACTCCCAGCTACTCACCTGTCACCTGCCTCGTCTCCCCCACAGTGCACGGGGCTGTTGGGCCAGACTTCCAGGGGTATCACTTACAAAATTAGCACTGGGAGGGGAAGCAGAGCCAGATCCATGGTGTTTCATTGTCATAACTCAAGCGCCCTCATCCCAGGTCTGTCTTTCTCAAAGTGTAAGGAATATAGTCTCATGGTTGACTGCTCTTGGCTAGAGATGTATTTTTTTTGCCACCTGTCTCATCTCCCAGTAAAGCTTGCAAGCCAGACTTTCTCCACCTCAGCAGAGACCTGCCACTCCAAGACTTTGAGCGCCCTGGTCACGTATGCGGACTTTGTACTGCCCTTGTACTGACTTTTTGATCCCTGTGTCTTAGGTCTCGTCAGAAGATGTCAATTCAAGTATCAAGACCTTTTTTTGTCCCAATGAGACTTACAATGACATGGCCACACTCTTCTTCAATCCCCAGGAGTCTGCCATCCTTCAGCTTTTCCACCAGGATGGTGAGTATCTGGGAGCCTGCCCGTTCTTGGGTGACTGTTTTCTTTCTGCAGGGAACAGATGATGGTTCCTCTACACCTTCTGTTGGCCCATAGTCACAGCCAGGCTTGCCCTCAATTCTGATCAAAATAGGACTTTTCTTTTGTACTAGCAACCCAGACAAGGCTAGAGTCTCTGCCTCCAGTGTTGGAAGTGAACTGGTTGGGGTGTGGAAGGATGGGCCAGGGCAGCCGGGGACCTGGTGGCACCTGGTGGTGGAACTCAGGTTGGTTCTTGCCTCGCAGGTACTTTTAGCCCAGTCACTCTGGCCTTGTTTTTCGTGCTCTACTTCCTGCTCGCATGTTGGACCTATGGCATTTCTGTTCCAAGTGGCCTTTTTGTACCTTCCCTGCTGTGTGGAGCTGCTTTTGGACGTTTAGTGGCCAATGTCCTCAAAAGGTAAGTGTGTGCATGTGTGTGCGAGCATGGCCATGTGTGCACATGCACACGTGTGCAAACCTTGTCACTCTAAGCCGTGGTCTTGGTTTCTCTCTTGCCCAGCTACATCGGCTTGGGCCACATCTATTCGGGGACCTTCGCCCTGATTGGTGCCGCAGCTTTCCTGGGCGGGGTGGTCCGCATGACCATCAGTCTCACGGTCATCCTGATCGAATCTACCAACGAGATTACGTACGGGCTCCCCATTATGATCACTCTGATGGTGAGTGCGCCCCCTCTGGGCCTCTCTCAGGCACAGGGCCGAGCTCAGCCCCTCAGCAGCCTCTTTTCAAGTCTTTCCTCTGTGTTTCAGGTGGCCAAATGGACAGGGGACTTTTTCAACAAAGGCATTTATGATATCCACGTGGGCTTGCGGGGCGTGCCGCTACTGGAGTGGGAGACGGAGACGGAAATGGACAAGTGAGGCTCGCCCTTCTCTTCTGTCCTGGTTGCAGAATGTATGACCTCGGGCCCGAGGGTGGGGAGTGGTGTGCATCAGGGAGTGGGGTGGGAGTCCAGTGAACTGGTAGGTAACTACGGAAGCAGTGGGGTGTCGTGGCAGCTGAGGGCCGGAGGCGGGCAGCTGCTGCATGGTTTGGTGTGGCTCCCATGGCCTCCTGGTTCAACATGAACGCAGGTCTCTGATCAGGTCTGCGTTACGACCGGATGTTTCCGCTAAGGGTCTGCTGAGCCCTGTGAGAACCAGCCTGCCCCACGCGTGCCCAAGGAAGTGTCATGCCATCAGCAGTGATTATTCTGGGCACAGTCACCGATTTATCCATCAGCTTGCAAATGGTTTGGGCCTCCTGTGTCTGGGGATCCCACAAGGCCCTTACAGTCCAACAGAGGGATCAGCAAACTTCTGTAAAGGGGCCACTGGTAAATCCTTTCAGCTTTGCAGGCCACGTGGTCTCTGTCACAACTCCTCAGCTCTGTCACCGCAGTGCGGACAGAGCCATGGACGATTGGTAAATGAGCAGGAGAGGCCAGATTTGACCTGGGACCTGCGGTTGCCCCCTGGTCTAAAGGGGTAGCCCCCCGCCTTTTTTTTTTTTTTTTTTTTTAATCTGGTAGTACCATTAGCAATCCGTGATAACATGAGGAATTGCCACAAAGGGCTGAGGAAGGGATGGCCAGTCCCCCGGGCAAGTAGGTGAAGTTTGTGCTGAGAGGACATTTTGTGTTGAGCTGAGGGGTGAGGAAAGGCCCACCGGCTTGGCAGAGCAGGGAAGGGCATTCCAGGCCCGGGGAAGGGCACTTGCCGAAGGATTGAAGTACCAAGGAATGCGCGTGTGCAAGTAACTGCTAGAGGTGGCTCAGAAGGTGTGCGGGAGAGCCAGGACTCGCTCCTGGGGCACTGTGGGCTCTTGTGAGGCTGGACGGCTTTCCTCCCTCCCCCAGACTGAGAGCCAGTGACATCATGGAGCCCAACCTCACCTACGTCTACCCACACACCCGCATCCAGTCTCTAGTGAGCATCCTGCGCACCACAGTCCACCACGCCTTCCCGGTGGTCACGGAGAACCGGGGCAACGAGAAGGAGTTCATGAAGGGCAACCAGCTCATCAGTAACAACATCAGGTTCAAGGTACGGCAGCCGGAGGGAACGGTGGACGAGAAATAAGGCGCTCCCTGACGCACGCACCTGCTAGTACTTGGCACACCCCGTAGATGGGGGGCGCCGGTGGGCTCTCAGGGAGCATCAGCCTCCTTGTTCGTGTGGCAGTGAGTGTAGACGTGACTGCAAGTGTGGACTTTGCTGGCCGTCAGGACACGTGTCCATTCTCACCCACGTAAATGCGTGGATGGAATTTTTTGTCCTAGTTGGCATTGTTTGTGGTGTGTAAGTGGTTTCAGGAGCTTTCTAGAGTTGCCTAGGCAGAAATGGACTTTGGCCTTCTTAAGACAGAGAGAAATCAGCTGGAAGCTGCAGGGCTGACCGGGGAGCTGGGGGACCAGAAGCGGCGCGCTGGGTGTGCAGGCAGCTGGCAGACCCCGGAGGGTGTTGGGAGGCGTGGCCACCAGCCTTTGCTCCTGATTTGAAATCCAGGCAGAGGGAGAGTCCCGTGTGCCCACCGTTGGCTCTGGGGGCCAGGCACACGGACGGTCCCACCATGACATCACATGGGAAAGGGCTCCCCCTGGAGAGTCGAGGTGCTGTTCTCAAATCAACGGAGGGGGGACGTTGGGCTGGTCTGCACGCCCTGAGAGCGGAGAGGCTCCCTGCAGCCCCGGCCCGTGACCCATGGCGAAGACGTCTTGCCCTTGCTGTGTCGGCATAGGCTTGGCCCCACTGGACCCGCATCCTTAAGCTACGGAGGTGCCGCGGTGGCGTGCTGTGCCCAGCAATCCGTGGCCTCCCTGGTAGAAACCTCTGTCCCCATCACCCGTTCCCACGCACAGAAATCCAGCATCCTCACCCGGGCTGGCGAGCAGCGCAGACGGAGCCAGTCCATGAAGTCGTACCCGTCGAGTGAGCTACGAAACGTGTGTGACGAGCACCTCGCCTCCGAGGAGCCCGCCGAGAAGGAGGACCTCCTGCAGCAGATGCTGGAGCGAAGGTGAGAGCACAGCCCCCCGCCGCGCGGGCACCTGCTCGCAGGGCTCAGGAAGGGCCAGCGCTTTGCTCTGAGGCAGCTCCCGAGCTCCCTGGGGATTCGGGGAGCTGGTCAGGGACGTGGGGGCAAAGCAAGAAGCAATCCTGCTGAGGGTGTGCTAGGCAGCGTCTGGTTTTTATATAACAGATACACTCCCTACCCCAACCTATACCCTGACCAGTCCCCGAGCGAAGACTGGACCATGGAGGAGCGCTTCCGCCCTCTGACCTTCCACGGCCTGATCCTGCGGTCACAGCTTGTCACCCTGCTCGTCCGAGGAGTTTGTTACTCTGAAAATCAATCAGTGAGTCTCTCTGGTCTGCGCTGGGATTCTGGAAGGCACGGGGTGGTAGGAGCACGGGAACAGAAGTGGACCTTTGGGAGTCTGTGCCGGCGGGCTGCTGTCCTGTGCTTGTGCAGCCAGCCCCGTGGTCCCCTCGGCCGTGGCCGGTGCCTGTCAGGTGACACGCAGTGGGGGGCTCCCCCAGGCCCCCTGACAACCGCTGCCCTTGTAGCCTGTAGGCTTTTAATAGACTTTGAGTTTTTTTAAAATGCTGTTCTCCCCACTAATTTTCTTTCATTTGGGTTTTGTAGAGACAAGTGGGAGTGGGTGGGGTGTGTTGTTCAAAGTGGTCCCTCTCGTGACCTGAAGGCCTGGCCATCCCCACACACATCACCCCCTGTAGACAAAGCCTGCAGAGGTTGCCCAGAGGCCTGCTTTCCAGACTGACTGTCCTGCTTGAGCTCTTGCCCACAGGAGCACAGGAGGGCCGAGGTGGGCTGCGTTAGAGGCCTTGTCTGAAGGCAGAAACCAGCCAGTGCTGGCCTGATGGAGCAGTGGGAGCTGCGTGCCGCTGGGCGGGCGGTGGGCGGAGAATGCAGCGTGCAGAGTGGAGCCGCGGGGAGAGTGACCAGTGACTTGTGGCCACTGCGCCCAGCCTGAGACCCTGTGGTGTGACCCGGGTGCCCTTGGAGGGCTGAGGGCAAATGCGGGAGACGCGGGATGCAGGGGCGGGAACAGAGCCGCTGTGTCCAACTGCCACAGACCAGGTGGCTGCAAGCAGGAGGAACGTGTTTGTCCGTAGTTGTCAAGGCCGGAGTACAAAGCCCGCACGTCAGCGGGGCCTTGGCTTCCTCGTGCGTGGAGGCTGCCAGCCATGCCTGGCTCTCCTTGACCGTGGGTCTGCCGCTGCAGCCTCTGCTCCCGAGTCACGTGGTGTGCTCCCTGTGCGCCTCTCCTCTTGATACTGTCAGTGGACTGGGGGTCACCCCATCCTGCCTGCCCTCTTCCGAACTGGCTTCTGTCTGCAGAGACCCTGCTTCTGACGTGGCCACACCCACAGGGTAGCAGGAGTTAGTGCTAGTCAGGCGTGTCTTTTGAGAGATACACGTCAACCCACGGGAGCTGGTAGGTAGCTCTGCTCTCACGTAGACTCCAGGGCAAGCCGTGTGCACCTCACAGACGGAGAGAAGCAGGTTCAGAGAGAGTAGGAGGTTCGCCAAGGGGCACAGCGAGGCTGGGAGCTGGCCTCGGGCCCCGGGCCTCTCACGGCAGAGCCCCCGTTCTGTACCACCTCGCAGCAGGTGGGGCTGTGGACGTGGAGAGGGAGGGGCTGTAAACGTCCCCGACGGTGGCTGTACCGGGTACAAGGACGTGTCTTGGTTGGGATTGCAGAGCGCCAGCCAGCCGCGCCTGTCCTACGCCGAGATGGCTGAGGATTACCCACGGTACCCCGACATCCACGACCTGGACCTGACGCTCCTAAACCCGCGCATGATTGTGGTGAGCAGGGCTGTCCCCGTGGGGCCGGGCCCCTGGAGGTGGCCAGCAGCCTGTCCTGCACGGAGCCGACCGCTGCTCGTCCGCGTGTTCACGCCTCGTCCAGGGCAGGGCGTGAGTGGCCACAGGTGACTTGTGTTGTCTTCTCTGCAGGATGTCACCCCATACATGAACCCTTCGCCCTTCACCGTTTCACCCAACACCCACGTCTCCCAAGTCTTCAACCTGTTCAGAACGATGGGCCTGCGGCACCTGCCCGTGGTGAATGCCGTGGGAGAGGTGAGTCTGGTTTCCAGTCGTGCCTGCGGCTGTGCCTGCTTCTGGAAGGACCCCGTCCCCACTGTGTGAGTCAGGGCTTCCCACCCAGGAGGACCCAGGAGGACCCGTCCGCCACTGCCCCCTGCACGCCCTCAGCTCGGCCAGCAGGTGTCGCCAGTGTCGCGAGCGCGGGGCGTCCAGGGCGTCCGGGGCATCCCTGGCCGTCCTCCAGTCCTCCGTCCTCCAGTCCTCGTCCTCCAGTCCTCGTCCTCCAGTCCTCCGTCCTCCAGTCCTCCGCCAGCTCCTGCTCTTCCCGCCGGGCCTCGCCGGGCCTGCGCCTCCTGGAGGAGGAAGGGGCTGCTCCCCACCCGTCCTGGGCACCCAGGACAGTAAATGAGGGAATTTCCAGCAGGGCGCTCAGAATTTTAGAAGATCCAATTAGGTACGACTAGTAATCAGTGCTACAGACTTTCCTGGGTTTTTTTTCTTGGAACTCCTCTTTTTCCTCATCACATGGCTGTTTAGTTGTTAAAAAAGAAGAAAAAGAAAACACAGGGCAGGATAATATGAACAAAAGAGCAGTACCCAGCGCCCACCGCACAGAGGTAGCCACAGTCCTCCTAAGGTAGATCCTTTGGTGTTTTTCCCTCTGCGTCGAGGAGAGATTTTACGTATCAGGACCTAACGAGAGCGTCACCGCTGTGTGCACGGAGACCCGCCTGGTCTGGGCGAGCTGCGGGAGATGCCTCTCCGCGGCGGGAAGCGGTCGCTGATGGTGTCTTAATGGGCTCGCTGGCGTCCCGCTGGCCACAGCCCTCTGGTGGGCGGTATTTAAGGGTCGCCATCACCCTCGTGAGGCTTTTGATGCCCTTACGCTGCCAGTCTCCCCTCCGGGCAGTGAAACCTCAATAAACAAGCGCCGCCCAGCAGGACGCGGGCACAGCGCAGCCTGTCCTGCTCTCCTGGGCGCGTGGTTGCGCCGATCAAACTTGGTTCCTCGAAACACGAGCCCGCTGACAGTTCTAACAGGCTGTGGCGTGAAGCGCCAAGTCAGTGGCCGCCGTGAGCAGCTCAGCTTCTGCGCACACAGGCCCTGTCACCAGAGGGGCCGGGCTGCTCCCTGCACCAGCGGTTCTGACTGCACGTCGGTGGGGGCCCCGCAACAGGACTCCACGCTGACACCGTCCGCCTGCAGACAGCACCAGACCCCGCACGTTCGGGGCTCAGCCTGACAGGACTGGGCCACCCCCCCACCCCCACCTCCGCTGCCGCCACTTCAGACGTCAATCAAAAGTCCAGGTTGTCGCCTGTGTTTCTGGGCAGGTGGCAGTAAATTGGAGGTTCCTGTGCTCTTCTGCTCCTGGAACTCAGGAGAGCAGTTTCCTTAGCAGGTTCCCAGTGTGCCCAGGAACGGCCAGGTGGAAGAGGCCTGGGGCAGGGATGGGGAAGGGATGCCAAACTTCCACACCGTCTCCCGCACACGATGCTCCTGGCACCTTACGTGCTCGCCAGCACAGACGTTCTCCAGTGTTGGTAGCTTCATTACGTACGTACACGTGATTGAAGACATTGCGGCCATTGGTGATTGATTCGACCTCCGGCCGCTCCCCACCCCCAGATGGGGCTCGGGGCTGGAACAGCCAGGCCTCTGCTCACATGGTTGGTTGCCCTGGCAACTAGCCTCCATCCTTAGGGGCTTTGTAGAAGTTTGTCATTCATGTAGCTGAAAGGGGCTTGTCATGAACGGCACAGGACACCCTTCTCGCTCTTTATCACTTAATCCCAAGAGTTCTTAGGGCCTTGTGCCAGAACGAGGGTGAAGATCACATACGTATTTCTGCTAAAAGTCGCCGTGACACAAGGACCCAGGTAGTGCGGAGAGATGGTGTTCGTGAACCACAGCAAGGTTCTGGGGTCTCAGCGGCTCGGAGCCTGCACTGGGCTGTCTCTTGCACACACGTGTGAAGCAGGGGGCAGGTGGTGGGAACGGAGAAGCCTAGAGAGCGTGTGCCTGCTGAAAAAGACACTCCGATGCGGAGTTAGCTGGCCTTCCTGAACTTTCTCTTGGAGCTGGATTTGTCCCATTGGCCTCTAGGAGCCCTGGTTCCCTGTGGATCTCCTCCTCCCCTGGAAACTGGGGTGGCCTGGACACGCATAGCGTGACCGGCTTGTCGGCGTCTGTCACGGCGCTCTGTGGGCCGGGCGTCCGTCCCCGGCGTTTACTGTGGTGGATGAGGCAAGCTGAGCCCGCTCCCCTTCTTGCCCCAGCGGGTTTACCCTGCAGGTGACATGGACCTCTTTCTTCTTGTCCTAGATCGTGGGGATTATCACTCGGCACAACCTGACCTACGAGTTTCTGCAGGCCCGGCTGCGGCAGCACTACCAGACCATCTGACGGCCCGGCGTGGCCTCACTGCCACACACCGGCCCGCCCTGTCCCAGAGCTGCCCAGGGAGGCAGCTCGCTCGTGCTCCGCCGCCACGGCTGGCTGGGGCTGTTCCAGGACACGGAAGATTCCCACTCACCCACTCGCTCGGAAAGCCTACAATCATCCAACACTCCGCCGGTCAGAGATCCTGGGGATGGTGTTGAACCGCAAGAGCTTGGACTTGTCTGACTTTCTCAGCAAGTATCTTCCTGCTCCCTGCTCCCTGCTTTCCTGCCGTCCAGCATGGGCTCAGGCCCCAGGCCCCAGGCCCCTCCACCCCACACGTGCCAGGATCAGAGGGGGCACCAGGCCTCAGCCACTGGGTTGGGTGGGGGGCGGGGGGGGGGACACCCGGAGCACTTTTCATGCCCCTCCTGCTGCTTTCCTAGGGGACTCAGCTGTTGCCTTAAACCGCGACGGGGGAGGCTTTGCCATGGCAAGTGCTGGGGCGAAGGCCAGTTGTGAACTGAAGTGAATCACCAAATTTAGGGACCGAGCGCTGAGACGATTGCCCGTGTGTCGGGGAGGCCTTCCCTCGCTGGGCTCTTGCCATGCTCAGCGGCTCATCTGAAGGGAAACACTGCTTCCGGGGGGCGCTGCTGCTCAGGCTTGCCGCCATGGGCACAGCCTCCTCGGAAGCGCCACCCTCCAGAAGCACACGTCCCCCTGACCGGCCCTGAAGGATAAGTCTGACGAGACGTCCGGTTCACAGCCGCCCTAGTCTTGAGCATCTCAGCTTCTCTCCTGGTGATTCCGGTTTCCCGAGGTCCGTCCCTCCTCCCGCCTCTGCGCAGTTAATAACTTCCCTCGAGTTCTTACACGTGTCCTCCTGGCGAAGCAGCCATGGCCCAGAGGGTATTCGTATGTCCCCCACCCCCACCCCCCGACCAAGTTAGCTACAAGCTGAGCATCCCATGATAAGACTGCTCCACCCCACTCTGGGAAATGGTACCATTACCTCTAAGGTGGGCAGAAGCAAGTCCTGAGCCAGTGGCCACTGTAGGAACGTGACGCGGCCTGAGAAGCCCGGGTCAGGATGGAGCAGATGGCTTCTTCCAGGAGGGGAGGGGGTGTGCCCGTCCTGGCCGTCCCCAGCCCGCCGAGGGGCCCAGACCTGGAAACTGTGCCACCGGGGCCCTGGGCTGGCGGGAGAGCTGGCCGCACGTGCCCAAGCCCCGGCACTGACCCCAGGAAGGAAGCCCCTGTGTGTCCGTGACCTGTGTCTCCAGGCGGGAGGGCCTCTGACTAGACCCCCAAAGTGAACACGCGGTGTCGGGTGTTTTGCACTCACTCTCTCAAGCTCTGTCCTATCCCCCCACCTGCAGCCACACCCTGGGCCCGGCACAGCCCGTGGCAGATGCGCCTGGGGCACCAAGACGGCATCTGTCTGCATTTAAGTTCCTGTTGGGCTTTTTTGTGTAAACTGTTGGCAGTCGCCTGGGGCCTGGGCACCCGGCCTCTCCGTCCCCTCGCCCTCTGCCTCGGGCTGACTTCTGTCGCCGAGTCTGGCACGCAGCCTGGGGGTGGGCGCCCGTCCCGGCGCGGCTGCCCAGGTCTCGTGCTCGGCGTGCTTGCTCAGCTCAGTGAGGGGCTGCTTCAGGCTCTTTGCCTCCTGACTGGCCGCCTCCGTTCTTCCCATTTCTCATCTCTCCGACCAAAAATACTTCGACTTCTAAATGTCTCAGTTTCCTTGAATGCGTGTGGCCTGTGAAATGTGGATGGGACCCCCCGGCAAGTAGTTGGGGAGATCACAAGGACCAAAAAGGCAAGCCCTGCTCGGCGTGCTCGTGTTCCGCCAGCTGCCACTTGCGGCGGCACTCGGAGCCTGGCCGCGCTGCTCCTTCCCGTCGCCCAGGTCAGGGAACACCGGGATTGCCCGTCCCACAAACTGAAGCCCTCTTCCCACCCCTCCCTGAAACTGGCAGAAGGAAAGTCCTCCTGGGGTCTGGGTCAGCAGCGGCCTGCCTCCAGGCGGCCCCGGGTGAGTGTCGTCGGACTTTCCCCTCGTGCACATGCAGTCCCCAGATGCTCGTTCCCTCTGGTGCGGCCCACGGGTAGCTGGCTTGGCAGGCGCCTCCCTCCGCATGAACCGGCCGCACGGCCGCCGAGGACCCAAACTCAGGCCCCTCTGGAAAGGCACATGGCTTCTTGTCCTCCGTGGGTGTCTGCCCTTACCAGATAAGCCCAAAGACAACCACTGCCCCACTTGTAACAAGATAACTGGAAGCCTCACCCCCTTGATAGTTAGAAACCCACAGTGTCCACGTCCCACCTATTTCCAGCCCCGTCGCCCCCTGGCAATAGGGTACGTCCACACACACAAGCCACGGGCGCTGGGGCTGGCTGGGGACAGTTCTCCGCGTGCTGGTCTCCTGCCTGCGGTGTCGGGCTCCCAGCTGGGGTGACTGGGAGGTACCTCCCCACCGTGGGGCCTTGGCACTCGGGAGTGATTTGCTCATGAGCTTGTTCAACTAACGGTTCCTGGCTGGGATGGACGCTCGCTTGCTTGACCCGACCAACTATGTGACATTGCTGACGCAGAGTTGTACTGACACAGCCGCTGGAGACTAGAAAGCCTCTGGAAAGGCCAGAAGCCCCGTCCCGGGCCCTGTGGCGTTGACGTGCAGTATTACCCACGGCTCCGTGGACACGGCCACCCCGACAGTCGCAGGCTTCCCTCGTTCTGTTTGCACTGTTGGTTTACATAGTAACACTAGCTAATTCTACGGTGTACATACATGGTATTTTTTTTAATTTGTAAAGTTCTATTTTTATTTGAACTTTTGGAACTTGGAAGTTCTCATTGTAACCGTAACCTGTCGGAATAAAATGTCTTCATCTGTCTCCTTTAACCTCCGTCTCAGCGTCTCCACGGTGCTTGCTTTAGAGCGACTCGCTTCTCTTTCTCTCTAACGTGTGAAAATCGGAAAGCGGGAGAGTAGATTCACAGTCTCAGAGCTTCGCCAGCAAGACTTCATTCCCAGGGGTCCACCTGCTACCAGCTTAGTCCTTCGCAAACCTCACGAGGTTCCCAGGCCTCGGTCTCCTCCAGACGCTGTGCGACCCCGTTTCCTGTGCTCCTGCTTGTAAGAACCCACCTGCTCCCTCAGGGGCTGCTGCCGCAGCGGGGCTCGGGCGGCCCGACTGTCCCGACAGCACTGTGCGTAGGAATCTGCCCCGCTCACGGGTTCCCGGAAAGTGCGTGCCGAGTCCACAGGCCTTTAGGCCTCAGGACTAGCTTCCGCGGTGCCGTCTGCCATTGCTCCCTGTTTTTGCCGGAAATAGGATTTTCTTTGTCTCTGGTCGATCTGCTTCAAGTTGCCACCATTCCGCCAGCACTAGAAGTGCTCTCGGTCGGTTCTGTGCCCCCGTGTCCCAGTGACACCCTGGGAGTGTGCCCAGGCCACCACACTTGCCTCCTTTCAGCTCCCACTCCCCGGGCCTCAGGAGCCCAGTTTGGACACTTTTTCCTGTCCCTGCCCTGGTCCTTCTTGGTTCCTCTCTGCCTCCTGGTTTTCTGCCCACCTGTGTTCAAAGTCCACGTGAAGAATATTTTTATTGAAAGGAGTTAGATTAGGGCAGCTCGGGTGGCTCAGCAGTTTAGCGCCTGCCTTTGGCCCAGGGTGTGATCCTGCAGACCCGGGATCGAGTCCTGCATCGGGCTCCCTGCAGGGAGCCTGTTTCTCCCTCTACCTGTGTCTCTGCCTCTCTCTCCTATCTCATGAATAAATAAAATATTTTTTTTAAAAAAGGAAGTAGATTAGAGGTCTTTCCCCACCTCCACGCCCTATCCATCAATTCACTTGCGGCCTCCCTCCTGCAAAGAGTGAATTACTACTTTATTCCCCCTTTTCCTAATTTCTGCTCAAGACCAAGAGATCTCCGGCGACGTTTACAGAGCTCGGGCTACGCCGTGCAATGCAGTGGCTCTGAACAGGCATTTGCCTTCAGGGAGTTTGCAATCCAGAGGCACAGACGCGATGGCAAACCCAGGCAAGTTGTGTTGTATTATAATTGTTATATGGAAAATGCTGCTGGGGCAGAGCTCAATTCGTGCCAGGCACGTGGTATCGGGGAAGGCTCCGGGAACAACGTGGCGTTCTCCACGGGCCTTGAATGTGTAGAATGTTCCCGGGAGCCCTGGATAAATGGCATCACAAGAGGAAGGGACAGGATGAATGAGGGCTGGAGAAGTGAATGCGTCGGTTGGGGAGGGCGGTTGGAGGAATGTCCTAGATTCTGCTGTGGAGAGGGGGACATGCAGGGTGGGAAAACAGATTAACTTGGCGGCCTAGACACCTGGGACCTGAATTAGAGCAAGCGGGTGGCTACTTTTTATTTTTTTATTTTTTTGGTGGCTACTTTTTAATTATGTGTTACTACCCAAAAGGCACGCAAACATGCCATTTGTCAACAAAGCAAACGTTTCTTTACACCTTGCTCAGCTCTCAAACCCAAATACGGTGACTGCTCTTCTTAAACCTTCAAGTGCAACTCACTCAGCTGCAGCCACGAACTCTCTCAAAATGCATCAGAAAACATTTCGTGGGCAGCCCGGGTAGCTCAGCGGTTTAGCGCCGCCTTCAGCCCCGGGGCATGATCCTGGAGACCCGGGATCCAGTCCCACGCGCATGGAGCCTGCTTCTCCCTCTGCCTGTCTCTCTATGTCTCTCATGAATAAATAAGATCTAAAAAAAAAGAAAGAAAGAAAGAAAGAAAGAAAGAAAGAAAGAAAGAAAGAAAGAAAGAAAGAAAGAAAGAAAGAAAGAAAAGAAAACATTTCATTAGAGTCCCACGTCAGGCATGGAGCCTGCTTCTCCCTCTGCCTCTCTATGTCTCTCATGAATAAATAAAATCTTAAAAAAAAAAAAAAGAAAGAAAAGAAAACATTTCATTAGTGTCCTCACTTTATAAATATGTCTCTGGGGGAAAAAAAAAAAGAACTTGGCTTGGTCGTACAAAAAATTGTCCATGGAGTACAAGCGACATTTGACGCCACCATGAAAAAAGCCCAGATGTTTGTTAAGTTTCCTCTTCAATAAATAAGTGCCCCGAGTGCGAGCAAAATCTGAAAAATAAGTGCCCTCTCCGTCCGTCTCCTGGGGCATTTTCGGGATCTGTGATGAGGCCAGAGTGAAGAGGCAAAGACTATGAACTGCAATTTGAGCCCCACCCACACCTCCAACCAAGGAAAAAGCTGGGGGTGAGGGCTGGGGAGGGAATGAGAGGAGAAAAAAAGTTGTCCAAACCCGCAGAATGCACAACACCAAGGCTTGCCCCGAATGTCAGGTGTGGGCTGCGGGTGGTAAGAATGTGCCGGTGTAGAGTCATGGTGTGTAGCAAGGGCACGGCTCTGGCCGTGAGGGAGGGAGGCCCGGCGTGTGTGCAGGCAGGCGGTTGTGGGAGACCTCTGTACTTCCTGCTTAATTTGGCAGCGAACCTGACACTGCTCCCCGAAATAGAGCGTACTGTGTTTAAAAGGAAGAAGAAAGAAACTGAGCACTCTCCTCTCTGGCAAAAGGTAACCGGGTCCTCAGACTGGGAGAAGAAAGACCACGCCGACCACGCCGACCCAGGCTGGGCTGCTGTCCGTGGTGCTGAAGTTTATTCGTTTTCAAACCCCTTTCAGTAACAGGTGAGTGTCTATGCTAAAACGTTAACGCGTGGGGTGGGAGGGGTGGGAAAGCCACGATTCAGCCAAGTTATCTACATTTAGCATAGAACGTGAGAAACATCGCCAAGAGGCTGCAGCTTGAATACGGTCTCGGTGCTCGTCATGGCTCAACTTGATGGCAATGAGCTGGGACAAAGTTGAGTGAGAGACCCCAAGGGATGAGGGTCTCTCAGAATCTGCCCCGGGCCAGGGCCTCCTTTTCCTCCCTGGCCATTATCTTCAGTACTACAAAGAGAACAGACACAAGTTTGACTTGGTGACCTGGCTCTTTTGGAAAGGTCAATCTCACAGGACTGTGTTCACTTCCCACCAGCACCCCCCACCCCAGCCTGACAACGCCAGGAGTTTCACGAATGGGTGCACAAGTTGCTCGGTAAAAGTTAGAAGTCAACCCCGATGGCTTGCTTGCTTGCTTGCTTGCTTGCTTTTTTTCTTTTTAAGATTTATTTATTTGAGAGAAAGAGAGAGCACCAGCACATCCATGTGTGCGTGAGGGGAGGGGCAGGGGGAGAAATCTCAAACAGACTCCCCGCCGAGCATGGAGCTGGACATGGGGCTGGAGCCCCACCTGGAGCTCGATCCCACAACCCATGAGAGCATGACCCGAGTGGAAACCAAGAGTCGGGCGCTCAACCTACTGAGCCACCCAAGCGCCCCAACCTGGTCACGATCATTTCATCCTTTGGGATCCGGCAATTCTGGGGAGAAACATGAACTACCGATCAGCAGGATGACGGTGGTTTGGCCCCATGAACATTTTAAGTTCCCGGTGTTCATGGCAGTACCTTTTTTTTTCCCCTTAGCGTATCCCTGGCAGCCTGTAGCTGAGGATGAGGTCATTGCCCCAAGCTGGGGCAAGCATTTCAAAGGAAGTAAGCTTCCACCCTGGTCTCTACTGCAGGAGGCATGCCCTGGTCGGACTTTTTGACAAGGTGAAACCACAACTAACTTCCTCCCCATCCCGTATCCATCCCCAGCTCCTCTTACCCGGAAGCTGTTGCAGCCCAGTCCGCTCTGGGCTCCAATCCTATCCATCCTGCCTCCGAAGCAGCTGGACCTCCGCAGGCTCCGAGGGGCAGCAAGCAGGGCTCTCAGCTTGCTCTTCAGGAGGGCAGATCTATCGGAGGAGTCCCAGGGGCTGCGCCCAAGGGCACCCCCATCTCTCTGGGCTGGGCTGACCTCCCCCGTCCAGGGAGGCACCTCAGGCAGGGGCTGAGAGCTGCCCCAGCTTCCGCATTCTGCTCACTCAGGACTTGGGGAGACTCGGCTTCATCTTCTAAAGGCATCTTGTCCTCCAAGCGGTCCAGCAAGTTCTTTACAAAAGGAACACATGGGGAAAGGGAGAGGTCTCACTGACCGGCACAGCGTCACAAGGCCCCCTGGCCCCGCACTGTGGCCCCTGTTCTGGCCCTACCTTGAAATCCAGCAGGTCTGCGTTGGACACAGAGCCGTACACGGGGTTAGCGCCCGTCTGCCCCAGGAGCTGAACTGCCAGGAAGAGGAGGAAGCTTGCGGCGATGGGGGAGCCCATGCTGGTGTCGCTCGAGGAGTGGCCCGGTGCTTGCTGCCCCCCTGTCCTCTCGCCTCCCTCTCTCAGCCTCCGTCCGCCTCTGTCTCCCAGCTGCCCTGCGTCTCCTCTTTTTATAGCCCCCCGGCTCTCCAAGAGCACAAGAGGGACGGAACCCTCCCCATTCTGTCACTTGCGGCGATAAAGCAGCTGAATGAGGAGCAGCAGAAGATGGCCTTTTAAAGCTATCAGGCCCACAGAGCCTGTCACTACCCCTCCACCTTGAGCAGCCCAACAGCCCCGGACCCTCAGCGGCAAGAGCCACATTCTTGTTGATTTGCCTCAAGAGGTTCCCACTTCAAAGGTGTGAGAAGAGCAAAAAAGAGTCCTTGGTTATCTTACAGCGATGCCTGGGGCTTCTTTCTCCTCAGCAACGGGACCCACGCAGGGAGGCAGAGGGTGACGGTTGGCCAGCGCCCAGCTCCCCGGTTGGTTTTCTGCTCAGCTGTCAGGGGCTCCAAATAAGGGCGGGAGGGGAGGAAGTGGCAGGAAGCCTGCAGCTCGGGACAAATTAGTCCAGATGCTCACGCTGGCCTCACACCTGACTCATGGGCCGTGGGGGCAGACCTCCCCTCCAGCTGGGCCGCCCTCGCTCCTGGCACTCGCTCTCAGCGGTCAGGTGAAGAGGGAGTTATTTTTTAGAGTATTAAATAGTCAGCCTGGAACCAAATGTGATGAGTGTCCCAAGAATTCAGCTCCCAGACATAAACACCAGGCAAAGTTTTGGAAACACAGCCATCCCTCCGCCAAGCCCCTCCTCCTTCCCCTCTGCGGTGTGGAGGGAGGTGGGTTCGTAGAGATGCCAACGTTTTCATCCCATCACCTCGCTGCCCATAGAACCCCAGGCTTCCGATGCCCCCAACCCTCCCGGGAAACCTCCCTTGGCGAGTCGGCAGGTGGGGAAGTGGCACACGGTTTCCCTTAATGCCTCCTGCGTCCTGCTGCGAGGCCTCACGAGTGATGAGCCACCAAGGCCCCTGCTTTCCTGGCCCCAAAGAGAATTTACAGGCAGCAAGACTGTCCTGTCCACGTGTAACGAGTGGCTTCCATTCGCTGAGCACCGAACTCCACACTGATGGATTGATTGCCTCCTACTCGATGCACCAGGTACCGGGGGGCAAATGCTAAGTGTGAAGGGTGGCGAGGCCTGCGTCGTAGCCCCAGACAAACCGAGTTACACGCATCATCACCGCCTCATTTTCCCCACTTGTAAAAACCTGCTCCCCCCACCAAGGTTGTCAGGTGAACTGACTAAGGCGTGAACGCACCATGAAGGGCCATCTGTTTGCAAGATGGTACTAACGGTTGCCTTTATTGAGCAGCTGTATGTGCCAGACGCTGTACCGAGAGCTCCGTGTGGATGACCTAACTGCCATCACCGCCCGTCCGGGGGGCACAGACTGAGGCAGAGGTTATGTCCCCTGCCCAAGGTCACTCAGCTCCCAAGTGGCAAGGCCAGGGCTCGAACCCCAGGTCTGACGCCAATGCCCACACTCCTACCCATTTCACAGATGCCGCTGCTGCCTCTTAGCATGATGGTTCCTTACCAGCCCTTTCCGGGCGGTTCCTGATTCAGCACACCCCTGAACCCCCTGTCCCGGGTGGCCTCGAAGAAGCTCCTTCACCCGCCCCCTTCCTAGGGGCTGTAGCTTCGGGTGCTTGGCAAGCGTGTGTGTGAATGTGCGTGGACCACCCCAAGGAGGGGGTTGTCCAAGCCCCACGACCTGTTGACGCACCTGCCGTGCCTCGGCGTACCCCACGGAACTCAGGAAAGTGCGTGGAATGACCCGCTCTGCCCCAGCCAGACTCCCGCTGGCCGATCAGGTGCACAGGCTGCTCCCCGGGGCGGGGAGGGAGGGCAGGACGTCGGGGCAGCACGCGGCCCGGGGTCACGAGAGGCACCCAGGGTGACGTTACTCTAACACAGAAGGAGAAAGGAGCCCTGTCCGGTAACCTTATCCAGGTCAGCTGACCTCAGCTTGAATTCCAAAGTGGGTGCAAGGCCGAAGAGGAGCTCTGGGGGCCAAACCTCTGGATGCAGAGGAGTCCCTGGAATGTGCTCACAGCTTAACGGCGCGGTTGGCAGAGTTATTATTAGCAAAGAGGATTCATGAGCAGCCTCCTGGGGGGACTGACGCTCCTTGCTGGGTGCGTCACGCGGCCCGGCTCCTGGAGATGCCCTTTCCGACAGGCCTGGCTGCGGGCGGCGGCTTCCGGAAGGGTGGCGGGGCAGGTGGGCTCCGGGGAGGCTGGGCCCTGGGGGCCGCTGCGGCTCCTCTGCCCCGAGCCTCTTCTGAAGGCGGGCGGCGGCCCCAGGGAAGCGGAAATGCCGTTCAGGGCTCCAGGAGGAGAACCTCAGAATTTTCCCAGCTCCTTTTATGATCCTCTTCCAGACGGAATCCTGAGCAGGGCATTAGTACCAGTTGTTGAGTTTCTCTCTTTCTTTCTTTCTTTCTTTCTTTCTTTCTTTCTTTCTTCTTTCTTTCTTTCTTCTTTCTTTCTTTCTTTCAAGATTTTATTGATTTATTTTTGTCTAAGAGAGCGAGGGAGCACGAGGTGGGGGGTGAGGAGGGGCAAAGGAAGAAGCGGACTCTCCGACGCGGGGCTCGATCCCAGGACCAGGGATCGTGACCTGAGCCCAAGGCAGACACTCAACCGACTGAGCCACCCAGGTGCCCCAGTGGTTGACTTTCTCCTATTAGCTAGGGGTTTTTGTTTGCTTTGGTTTTGGGGTTTTGTGTGTGTGTGGAAGGGGGGTGGCGAGAAAAAGAACATTTGGTTTTGCTGCGCTGAGGACTTCACGCAGAACCAACAGCAGCTCCTGCCCTGACAAGGCTTAGTAGGAAGACAAGCCTCAAATACCCTTATTACCCCGACCCTCGCAAAGCTTCGCTTTGTGCCTGTAACCGAAAATGGCCTGACGTCAAGTTTCCCTTCTTTCCCACGCCCCTCCCCAGCTGGGAGGAGTCGATCTTTAACAGAGCGTTGGGAAGCCAGCCTGGAGGAGTGAGACAGAAGAAAAGCAAAAAGCAGAGAAAACCGGATCCACCTCCCACCCCCACCTCCCTCATTAGCCAAAAAGTCAAGAGCCTTTATTTCCCGATCACTGGAAAGAAGTTGCCTTAGTCATAGGATGGAATGAGCCCTGCAAATGGGTGGGAGAGCCCAGAATTGGGGCGTCTCTAGTTTCCATCTCAGGGTTTCTGTTTTAGGGTCCTCCGTAGGGATGCTGCGGGCTGCTTCCGGAGCCGTGAGACCCCAGCAGTGTAACACTTGCACAAGGCTGGTGTGAGAAACCCGGCACCGGCACGGCGTGATGCCGGCGGACACAAGTGGTCTAAAGCAGAAGCCCCAGTTGGGAGAAGGCGGTAAGGCCCCGGTGCATACTTAGGGATGGTTGTCTCTGACTTTGAAAACGATGTTCTGTTTCTTTGGCCCAGCGTGGAGGTCACCGGGACTGGAAGTTGGCGGCAGGTTCCCTAGAAAGCAAGGCTCAAGGCCAAAGTTCAGTTGCTAAAGTTCAAGGAAAGCGAGAGCGAGGGGAAAAGAGAAACGGGGCAGGGTATTATTTAACTACTGCTGTGTAACAAGTTACCCCGAACCTTAGCAACCTGAAAGGACACACGCCCTTTACCTGACAGTTCTGTGGGTGAGGAATCAGGCCCGCCCAGCTGCCGGCCCCTGGCTCGGGGCTCTCATGGGCTACGGGAAGATGTTGGCTGGGGCTGCAGTGAGCGCGAGGCTCGGCTGGACGATCTCTCTCGGGGTCACCCCTCCGTCCACTGACCGACCTCAGCTCCGGGGTGACCACTGGCCGGAGACGCCCGTTACTCAGCAGTCGGGGCCCCTCTGGAGCCGTGCAGCTGACTTCCTCTGGTAGAGACAGAGGTTATGGAAAGTCTCGGTAACCTCGCCTTGGAAGCGGCATCCCAACATCTTTGTCGTGCTGCGCGGGGATTACACAAGGTGGTCCAGGAGGTGGGGGGCTGCGGGGCCCCCTCAGAGGCTGCCCATCACGGAAGAAGAGGGAGAGCAAACAGAAGGTGATACGCTCCCAAGGTGGCCACCTTAGTGTTCGGAGGGTCCGGCCGGACATCCCCACGGAGCTTCCTGGAGCCCGGCGCCCGGGGGAGCGTGAGGGGAGAGCAGGGTGAGGGTGGTGCGTTAGGTCCCCAGGGCAGCTCTAACGAAGTGCCACAGACTGGAGGCCTTCCGGCGCCTGAAGCCTGTTGTGTCCCGGTGCTGGAGGCCAAAAGTCCAGAATCGAGGTGTCGGGGAGGCCACACTCCCCCCGAACCCTGTGACGGGGAGACTTCCTTGCCTCCTCCCACCTCCGGCACCTGCCGGCCCTCGGCGTCCTCGCCTTGTGGATGCAGCCCCCAGGCTCGGCCTCCGCCCTCAGAGGCCATCCTCTCTCTGTGTTTTTCTGTCCTCTTCGTATAAGGACACCAGTCCTACTGGATTAGGAGCCCACGCTGCTCCGGTCTGACCTCGCGTTATCTCATCCCGTCTACTTTGCAATAAGGTCACATTCTGAGGTTCCGGGGGTTCAGGACTTCAACATGTCTTTTAGGGAGAGGGGATTCAGCCCACTGCAAACACTTTATCCGTGGGCTCCTTTCTAACTCCGACCCGCACCCCACCACTGCCCCAAGGCCAGGAACTCCCCTTCCCTCTGGGCTGCACTACCCAGCTCCTTCAGGTGGTAGCGGGGGGGGGGGGGCCGAGATTCCATCCATTTGGGAACTGGTTTGGCAATCTCTCCGGGTGATCCTGCCTGCTGGGGGATGGGGATTGGTGGCACACGGAGGCGGAGAGGCGGTCAGACCGCAGCTCGGAGAACCGGGCAGCCGATGCCTAGGCTGCATTTCTGGGAGGCCAGAGACACAGGCCGAGAACGCGGCAGTGCGCTTGTCGCCGCAGGACACCCCTGCCGTGCTGTTCCAGCGCCGAGCGCGGAGCTGACGCATCCGGATTCTTTTTTTTTTTTTTTTTAAAGATTTTATTTATTTATTCATGATAGTCACAGAGAGAGAGAGAGAGGCAGAGACACAGGCAGAGGGAGAAGCAGGCTCCATGCACCGGGAGCCCGATGTGGGATTCGATCCCGGGTCTCCAGGATCGCGCCCTGGGCCAAAGGCAGGCGCCAAACCGCTGCGCCACCCAGGGATCCCCACGCATCCGGATTCTTAAGAAAATATTCTCCGAATGGTGGAATCCACGCGCGTGCCTTCAGCGCCTCTCCTACGCACCCAATCCTCCGAGGTGCATGCCTGAGTGCCCACAACTGAACCTCGCCCACCCCGGGGCCTTCACGGAGAGGAGTCGTCACTCTCTGGCCAAAACATGAAGGTTCCGCTTCTCCCCTGATGCAGGAAGAACCAGATGAGGGAGCCTGGAGTGGAGAGGCCAGTTAGAAGGCTGGTGAGCGGACGTCAACGTGAGTGATGAGGACACAAGCCAGGAATGGAAGTGAAGGGTTGTGTGTAGGAGATGCTAGGAACGAGGCGGAGTGGACCCGGCGCCTGCCTGGGAGGTCCGGCAGGAAGGACGTCGAGGAAGAGTCCAGGGGCTCTAATCACCCAGGGTGGAGCTCCCGGAGGAGCTTTAATCATTGGGGAGTGTCTGGGTTTGGGTTCTCCTGAACCGGAGACAAGGATCCAAGCACAAGTAGTTTACTTTGGACACAATCCCAGGAGACATGGGCAGGAGGAGGAGGAAATGACCACGATGGCCAAGCGGGGCTCGAGCCCCCGTCCCACAGAGAACCCCCGGGAGAGGTGGAAGACGCACGCCACCAGGGTCTCTCAGTGAGGGTGGGAGCCAGCACCCCGGAAACGTTCCGGAACATCCAGGCAGGTCCAGGGGGCTGGTCCCTGCCCCGATGGGAGAAATGGGTCACCTAGTGACACAGGACTGGTTGTGCAAGCTAAGGGAGCGCGTGAGAAGTCCTCCCGAGGCCGAGGCAGAAGCCTGAGACCTGCCACAGGAACCAAGCCAGGAGGCCGAGTCTGTGGTCTTGGTCACGTCTGGCTCTGCGGGAGGAGAGTCAGAGTTTCTCCGAGGGTGGAAGCTGCCACAAGAGGGATGGAGCAGGCTCAGCGTCCCTTGAGGATGTCACGGGTGCAGATTCGGTGGCACAAGAAGGCATTCAGTCCCAGCGCTGTCCTGTAGCCTCAACACTTGGCCCCCGGGAAAGCTCGTCCACCCTCCGCGGAGAGTCCCTCCGGCTCTGAAGCCTGGGGTTGGGCGCCCTGGGCTCTATTTTCACCGGCCCATCTTTCTGGGACGCTTATAGCGACGAGCAAATGTGGAGAGACGAACTCTGGCAGCTTCGTTGGGCGACACTGGTAATAGGGAAGCCAGGGAGGTCGAGGCCATGGCTGTGGCTGTGCTGGGGAACATTGAAGGGCCAGGGTCACGGTGAGGGAGGGCGGGGTTTAAGGGCATCTGTAGATGGTGCACGTGTGCCAGGCTTCCCACAAACACCAGACACCTGGGGAGCTCGGGGAGCTGTGACGCCACGGGCACCGCAGGCTCCCAGCATCTCAGGCACACACATTTGGCTCCCTCGCAGTTCTCTCTGGGGTCCCCTTCCCTAGACCTTTGCTTGGGGAAAAGGTACAAACAACAGACGCTCCCACCTGGATGTGCCAAACTCGACGGCAAGGATTGTGACGTGCTGGCTGGATCGGGGGCGCGGGTGTTCTGGACGAGGTCTGCCCTCATCCCCTGAGCAAGGGGAGAGGCTGCCCACAGGCAGGGGTGCCAAACGCTGCCCTGAATGAGCCCCTTAGGAGGGCAGTTTGCCCTCCCACCCGCAAGCCGGATTCACTGACCTGGGAGGGGCCGGGGGTGCAGGGATTAGGGGTCTGGGTGCTGAGCCAGGCTGTGTGGCCTTGAACCCTGGCTCTGCCACTTGCTCACTGCATGGTCTTGAGCAAGTTGCATCACCTCCCTGTACCTCAGTTTCCCCTTCTGTTAAAATGAGGGAGAGTGAGAGTTCTTCAGAGATTGTTGCAAAAGGACTAGGGAGGCCTGGGAGGCTCAGCGGTTGAGCGTCTGTCGGCCTTTGGCTCAGGTCGTGATCCTGGGGTCCCGGGATCAGGTTCCCCACAAGGAGCCTGCTTCTCCCTCTGCCTGTGTCTCTGCCTCTCATGAATAAATAAATAAATTAATTTTTTTAAAAAAGGATTTGTTGCAAGGACTATACGAGTTAGCAGAACTGTGCCTGTGGCATACTGAGGCCCCTGTGAAAGTCGACTACACCGAGCACTCGTCGCCTTCCCCGGGTCAGAGACGCCAGGCAACGGTGGCTCACGGTCTTATTAGAAAGTAACTCACTCCTAAACCTCATTTGAAAAATCTTAGCTGGGGGATCCCTGGGTGGCGCAGCGGTTTGGCGCCTGCCTTTGGCCCAGGGCGCGATCCTGGAGACCCGGGATCGAATCCCACGTCGGGCTCCCGGTGCATGGAGCCTGCTTCTCCCTCTGCCTGTGTCTCTGCCTCTCTCTCTCTCTCTCTCTCTGTGACTATCCTAAGTAAATAAAAATTAAAAAAAAAAAGAAAAGAAAAATCTTAGCTGATGTCGTTGGCTATCCATACCCTCTGGCACGCGCTGCGTTGAAGTGAGAACTAACACAGAGCCCACGCCACTCGGGGTTCCCCTCGCTCGCTCTCGGAGAAACATCTGCTGAGAGCAGCAGAGAGGTCAGGAGGTGAAGGTCAAGGCCAGGAGCAGCGCAGCAAAGAGCACAGGCTCCAGAGTCTCTGCCTCTCCACGCACATCTCTGGGCTGGTGTTCGTGGCCACCCGCTGCCGGGTGGGAGGCTTCGGTTTTCTGGGTCCCCGTTTTCGCACCCACCAAATGGAGATAAGAATGGTCCTGTGCCCTCTGCGGAGCTAGGGTCACAAAAGGCATTCTGCACAGACGGGCTGCGTGAGCCGAGTCCTGGAAGCCCGAAAGCAGGGGAGCGCGGCCCGGGATGCCTGGGAGGCAGGTTGCATGGGAACGGGGGTGGGGGTGGGGGTACAGAGGACAGGACAGTGACCCCCCGCGGACTCCCTGCTGAATAAGGCAATAAGGCAACACAGTAGGATTCTGGTGGCTGCTCCTTTCCTGCCCTAGAAGGAGAGGTTTCTCTCTCCGAGGCAGAGAAGTAAAGATGCGGAGCCCGCAGAGAGGGGCGCCCTGGAACGCTGGGCCTTTGTCAGACACGTCTACACCTCTGGGCTTGAGACATGGAAACACAATTAATCTCAGGGTTTTAAAGTCCTTCCCAGGATGACATCAGGAATCGAAGACTGGGGCAGCCCCCGGTGGCTCAGTGGTTTAGCGCCACCTTCAGCCCAGGGTGGGATCCTGGAGACCCAGGATCCAGTCCCACATCGGGCTCCCGGTGCATGGAGCCTGCTTCTCCCTCTGCCTGTGTCTCTGCCTCTCTCTATATATGTCTCTCATGCATAAATAAATAAAATATTAAAAAAAAAAAGAATCGAAGACTGGAAGCTGAGGTTTGGGGCAGAGTGGAGAGTTCACCCCCACCTAGAGGTGCGTGCAAGCCAGCGTGTCTCACACCCACACACACGGCCCCTAATCTCTGAGATTTCCGCTTGGCCCTCCTGGAAACAAAACCACCGGGGAGAGCGAGTCCGACTGATCGATCGATCGATCGATCGATCGCACAATTCCGGGCAGAGGGGAAACTAGTAAAGCAAAGGCCAACACACACCTTCGCTTACACCAACAAACGTATCAGGGCCCATTTCCACTCCCAGGGAGAAACCACCAGCTTTGAAGAGCAGTTCCTGCAGTGTCTTGAGTGCTTGGGGCATTTATAGACGTTTCAGAGCATGAAAAACTCTTCAGGAGAAGGAAGGCGCCCCCGCTCCTGCTTGACCAGCCCTGACGCCGGCCGTGTCCCCACCCCGCCGTTAAGACATCCTTGGAAGCTTCAAGAAGACAAAAGGGTTTGCGGTTTGGGGGTGGTTTTTTTTTTAAATGATGTGTTACTTTTGGGGATCCCTGGGTGGCGCAGCGGTTTGGCGCCTGCCTTTGGCCCAGGGCCGATCCTGGAGACCCGGGATCGAATCCCACGTCGGGCTCCCGGTGCATGGAGCCTGCTTCTCCCTCTGCCTGTGTCTCTGCCTCTCTCTCTCTCTCTCTGTGACTATCATAAATAAATAAAATTAAATTTAAAAAAAATGATGTGTTATTTTTAATGCACAGGGACAAATCGGTTTCAAAAGAAGCTCTAGGGTTGACTTTATTTCACCGTGGAAAATCCGTGCTCAGGGATCAGAATCATCTTATATAAAACAATCGAAATAAATAAATAAATAAATACGAATAAATAAGATCTGCTTCCAAGGGGCTCAGGGGGCTGCTGAAGAATCCGATGCAGATGTCTGCAGCCGGGACTTCCTCTTAATACTTTCTCAGCACTGTGGGAGGAGAGAGAGGGGGATGATGGCGTCAGGTGGGAGACTGAGGCAGGATCCGAGCTTCCCAACCCCAGGGGCCATCCCTGCCACCAACCCCCACCCTCAGCCGATCTGGATGTTTGAGGCTTTGGAATAATCCATCTCTCTAGACCTCAGTCTCCTCCTCTGTAAACTGGGAATCATCACTGCCCTGGTGACCGTGACCTCTGCCTTCGTGGCTACAGACAGACAGAGCGAGCGACGAGGACGATGTTTAGGACTCTTTCTGCTCCAAGGAGATGCTTCCAGACAATGACTGGATTCCATCCTAAGATGATTCTGCCCCTTTGGGTGCGAGAGGCAGGAGGGGGCTAGGAGGTGGGTAGGGACCCTGGACAACGATGTCCACACGTAGTATTTCCAGAAACGTACTCCTTGGCCCTTAGGACTGTCGGCAAGAAGGAGCGATGTCCAGATGTCCTTTCCTCAGAGTGTGATCCCCCGAGACAACAAACCCAGAAGGGGTTCCAAGGGTCGAACCCAGGGGGCTGGGGAGGGGGAGCCAAGGCGGCAGGGAGGCGGCTTACCGTTGCAGCCCAGGCCACTGAGGGAGCCGATCCGGTCCAGCCTCCGGCCAAAGCACCCTGACTTGTGCATCATCTTGGGGCTGCGTAGTCTTCTCAGGGCCTGGAGGACATTGTCACGGGGTGCAAGGACCCCCACGGGGCGTTCCTCCCCGGCCTCCGGGGCTTCTGTGGGGCTGTGGCTCCGGTGCAGGGGTTCCAGGGCCAACTGCTCTGCCTGCAGCTCTGAAACTGTGTCCTTCAGACGGCCCAGCAGCTCCTGCAATGGACGGCCTGAGCCCCAGGAACCCACGCCGGGGCAGAACCACCCTTGCACCCAAGTGAAGCCGCCGCCTTGGGTATGGAGTCCTGGCACCCAATCTCGTCACTTTCTGATTCCCTTATCACTAATTCCCAAGGGAGACTGAGGACTTGGGACAGTGGCTAAGCCCCCGTGACCTGCTGCCCCCCCCGCCCCCCGCAGCCTTCAGGCAGGCTGAGCGCTCACCTGCAAGGCCCACAGTCCCGAGGCTTCTGAGGCTTCCGAGGCGGGGCTGCGGCCGCCCAGCGGGTGGGGGCGGCCTCCGAGTGGCGACAGGTGCAAGAACAGGAGGAGCAGGAGGGCCCGGGGCAGCGCTGCGCAGGGCTCCATGTCGCTGGAGAGAAGTGGGGAAAGAGACGTCCGGCTGCTGAGCTGCTGCGCTGCGATCGGGGTCGGGTGTCACCGCTTCGGGCGGCGGGTGCTCTCCTGGATCCCACGGCAACGGGGGCTTTTTATCCCTTATCCCGTGCCCGGGGTTATCTCTGATTTATCGGCCGCATTCCGGGCCGGCTGAGCTCAGGGCGGGGGAATGCTCCCCTCCGCGCCTGCGACCATACCGCCGGGGTGGAGGCTGCAGAGCAGGCCTTGTATAGAAATGGGCCTGGCCCCCGGGGGGGGCAGGAGGGGGACACCAACAGGTCCTCGGCCTCCTCGGCTCCCTCCTTCCCTGCCTTTCCTCCGCCCCCAAGCATCCCTGGAGCGCGGAGAGACAGCTCCACGAGTGCGGGGCGCCGGGGTGACTCAGAGCAGAGGAGCCCCAGCCCGCAGCCCACCCGCGGCGCGCCCCCCTTCGCGTCCCCCCCTCGCCTCCTCTGCCCTGCGCTCCCGGGCCCGGCCGCTGTCCGTGGTGCTGAGCCATCTGAGCAAACTCAACCCAAAAGGTCTTGGCTCTTCTCCCCTCAGGCCTAGTTCCCCACTCAGGTCCAGCCAGGAAGACAAGCATGGAGTAGGGACGAGACCCTGAGACACCGCCCCCCCCCCGCACCCACCGCCTGCACAAGGATGCTCATTTTCCAATGTCATCTGATTAAAAGCCTGAGCATGACAAGGAACTTCTGGAATGCTGACCCTGCTTCCATCCCTTAAACGGTAGGGCTTGATTTGGCTGGAATTTTGAGAGGCAAAGCCCAGAGATGAAGTCACCCAGGAATGCCGTCTATCAAACCTCCTCCAGGTGCCAACGCCTCCTCTCCCCCGCCCCCCCACCAAGCCAACATAGGACAGGAAAAAGGGCAAAGATGACCGGAAGATGGTTATCTATTTGGCAGGACACTACAAGTGTGGGGAGCACCCCTCCCCAGTGCCTCCTTCATCTGACCATCCATGACCTAATTCCCGTTAGCAGATGGTCCCGGCCTCCTGTCTGTGATCACAAATGAGGCTGCAAAGAAAAATGGCCCTGGGAAGAGACACAGCAGATTAAATCTCCCCTAAAGCATGCATGACTGATGTCACCACCCCTTCCAGATGCCTTGTGTTGACAAGCAGCAGGATGAGAGAGTGAGATATGGGTGACAGAGAAAAGGCAGCCAGAGGCAGAAGCTATGGCCTCGAAGCAAATCTTTCCTTAGAAAAATAGCATCTGCCAAATATGTGAGAAAAAATACTGTTACCGGTTTTTCATTTTTCAAATGAGGGGACTGATTCTCAGAGGAATTAATCTGCTTTCTCAGTTGACAAGTGGTAAAGCTTGGGTTGCAACCCAGGCAGTCTGACTCCAGACCTGATGCTCTTAATCACTGCCAGGGTGATTGCAAGACAGAATTAGATTAATCCACTGTCGTCTCTGAAGGTACGGAAAGCTGTGGCACGAGGGATGCGTAAGTTGGTGGCTGTGTGTGCAAGGAGAAGGATGTAAAGCGTGGCCAAGATGACCATTTTGCAGATGAGGATGGAGGAGGGGTAAGGGCTCTGTAGAGGTTCCAGAGGCTGCAGAGTCGTGTGTGTGTGTGTGTGTGTGAGTGTGAGTGTGAGTGTGCGCGTGCGTGCGTGTTCCCACCACCTCCACAAAGGCCTGCGCTCATATTGTCTCTATAGCCGGCATCAGCAGCAGCATCAGAGCTCCCGGACCCATAAACGCCTGAAGTTAATCTACTTTGGCCTTTGCTGTCATGGGAGCTGATAAATCTCCCCCTCCCTTTTCCGCCCAGACCAATGTAAGTTAGATTTCTGTCACTCCCACCCCGAAGCTATTTAACTGACCCAGTTCCCAAAAGAAACTGCGCGCTTTTTTCTTAGAAATATTTCTTGAGGGGCAACTGGGTGGCTCAGGTGGTTGAGCGTCTGCCTTTGGATCGGGTCGTGATCTCCAGGTCCTGAGATCGAGTCCCACGTCGGCTCCCAGCTCAGCGGGGAGTCTGCTTCTTCTTCTGCCTTTCTTTCTTTTCTTTTTTTTTTTTTTTACGATTTTTTTCTATTTATTCATGAGAGACACAGAGAGAGAGAGAGGCAGAGACACAGGCAGAGGGAGAAGCAGGCTCCATGCAGGGAGCCCGAAGTGGGACTCGATCCTAGGACCCCAGGATCACGCCCTGGGTTGAAGGCGGCGCTAAACCGCTGAGCCCCCCGGGCTGCCCTCCCTCTGCCTTTCCCACTGATTATGCTCTCTGCATCTCTCAAATGAATAAATTAAAAAATATTTTAAAAAAAATTTAGAGATGTTTCTTGAGGACAAGACATTGCAGCCATTAGTAAAAGCCCAAGGTCTGGAGCCTGTGCAGACAGCTGCCTAATTTTTTTTTTTTTCCGGTTTACTGCAGCACTTTATTTCCCTCCCACAGTGATGCATTGCCGGGGCCTAATGTTCTCTCATGACAGTAAAAAAACAAAATTTGTCATCTCTTAAAGAATTGAGAGTCGCATACGAAAACCTCACATAAATTAAAAGGAGGAATATATTTACAGGTGTAAAGGCAAACCATTTCTCAACTCAAGGCAAGTGACAACCCACTGTATTCTGACAGGAAAACATCAGTTAAGAAAGGAAAACAGAGAAAGGTGATCCTGGCTGGTTCGGTCGGTAGAGCATGTGACTCTTGATCTCAGAGTTGTGAGTTCGAGCCCCACATTGGGTGTAGAGATTACTTAAAAAATAAAATCTTATTTTAAAAAAGAAAGAAAGAGGGATGCCCTGGGGGGCTCTGGGGTGGAGCATCTGCCTTCAGCTCAGGGCATGACCCCGAGGTCCTGGGATCGAGTCCCACGTCGGGCTCCCCACGGAGAGCCTGCTCCTCCCTCTGCCTGTGTCTCTGCCTCTCTCTCTGTGTCTCTCATGAATAAATAATTTTTAAAAAATAAATAAAAAGAGGAAAGGAAGGAAAAAGGAAGGAAGGAAGGAAGGAAGGAAGGAAGGAAGGAAGGAAGGAAGGAAGGAAGGAAGGAGGTCCTTGAGGCTCAGACTTTCCCAACCCTGTCAGATGAGCAAGACAGAAATGACAAGGGGGTACATGATGGTCCCAGCAGACCACAGCGTGACAGTGTAGAGGTCCTTCTGGATGTCAGCGTCACACTTCATGGTGGAGTTGAAGGTGGCCTCGAGGATCCCACAGACTCCATACCCAGGCGCCAGGAGTGCAAGAATACTTGGGGGCATGGAGCTGCTCATGGCCAGTGGTGATCACCACCTGATGACCTGCTCATAGCTCTTCTCCAGGGAGGGGGACATCTCCTGCTCCAAGTCCAAGGCACCCTAGCCCAGCTTCTCCATGATGATGTCACACAGGATTTCCGCTCCCCCGTGGTGCTGGAGCTGCAGCCAGGCTCCTGAACATCTTGCGGCAGTCCTTCAGGGTCAGCCAGCCCGGCGTGGCCGGGGGTAGCCCTCACTGATGGGCACCGTGTGAGTGACCCTGTCGCTAGAGTGCACGACAGTATCCTGGTGGAGACCTACAGGGCCAGCACGGCAAAGTGCTGACGGTCTCCAACAAACATGGGCCCGACGAAGGGACCAGGCGGCGCCAAGGCCCCACAGTGAATCCGGCGTGTCGGAGTGCGGCAAAGAGGCCAGCCCTGGCAGTGGGGGCAGCGGTGGGAAATGGGCTCGGACACGCAATGAGGGCTCCACAGAGCACAGCCTTCTCCTTAGGACTTTGGCTAACGTTACCTCGCGCACAGCGAAGGCCACCGGCGTGTCTAAGGTCAAAGAGGCTCGTGCTCCGCTGACACCAGGTACTCTGCTGCCTCTGCACTGACCTCCCAGGGCTGGGTCCCCCGGGGGCTCCTCCTTCAAGCTGCCAAACTTGAATAATTCCCACCTTTCCCCTGTGTTACCCCAATAGGGGAAGGGGGTGAATAGCTACTTCGTGCTTTGCTTCTTCCCCCCCCCCGATACCTAGCGTTCTCTTTTCTGCTTTTTCAGATTTTCGTTGCTTAATTAACAGATTTACATATTAAATTCCCTCTGTTGAAATAACTGGTGTGGTTCCATGTCTCTAAGGGACCCTGAGCAGTACACCCGGCAGTGAGTCTTCCCTGGGAACGAGGCCTAGTCTCCAGCCTCAAGGACGAGCTGTACGGTGGTAGGAAGGGAAGTCCCATCCCTCGGGGTCCTGGGATGTCGCATACACCATAACAAATTACCACACGCTCAGCGGCTTAAAACGGCAGAAATTCTCTCACCCTTCCGGCGGCCAGAAGTCCAGAACCAAAGTTGTTGGCTAGGCCTCCATCCCTCGGAAGACTCCAGGCGAGGATCCTTCCAGGCCTCTTCCAGCTCCTGGTGGCTCCGGGTACACCATTCCAGGTCATCGAGGCTCCTCTGCGTCTGTGTCTCAAATCCCCTTCTCCTTTTCTTTCATAAGGACACCTGTCATTGGACATAGGGCCTGCTTCTTATCCAGGACGACTTCATCTTAAGACCTTTAATTTCTCTCTCGTTTTTTAAGATTTTATTTATTTGACAGACTGAGAGAGAGACAGACAGACAGAGACTGAAGGGAGAAAGAGAGAGCACAAGCTGGGGTGATGCGTGGAGAGGGAGAAGCAGGCTCCTCACTGAGAAAGAAGCCCAATGCTGGGCTCAATCCCAGGACCCTGGGATCAAGACCTGAACCAAAGGCAGATGCTTAACCAGCTGAGCCACTCAGCCCGCACCCCCCCAAAAAAATCTTTAATTTCATTACATCTCCAAAGACCTTCTTTCCAAGGAGGGTTACATTCCTAGGTGCCAGGGGTGAGGACATGGACATACCTTTTTGGAGGCCATCACTCACCATAATGCAACCCCCCACCCCACTGCCAAATGCTGGTCTCACTGTACCAAGCTCTCTGCTCACCTTCACCCAAACCTCCTAGCCTGCCTCACAAGTGCCCTCACAGGGCGCTGCACCTCG